TTGCCACCCAGGCAGGTGCCCTTGGCCGTAATTGAACCTGGGACCTTTCAATTACGCAGGCTGACAGTCTATCCACTGAGTCAAACCGGCTAGGGCGAGATGCCCTTTTTTAATATGTAGTTTCTAAGTACAAATTCCTTATGCCATTCCACTGCTCAGAAATTTTATTTATATTAGTCTGTGAACAAAGTAACATACTCCACAATGGAATACTATGCTGCCATATAAAAGAAGGAATTCTCATCATTTGCAGCAACCTGGATGGAATTGGAGAACATCATGCTGAGTGAAATAAGCCAATCAATGAAAGAGAAACACCACATGACCTCACTCATTTGTGGATAATAAAGAGCATTATAAACTGATGAGCCAAAAGATAGATATAGAGACAGTATATCAACAAGTAGACTGTCAAATTACAGCGGGGAGGGGAGGAAGATCTGGGGGAGATAATAGATCAACCGAAGGACTTTTATACATGCATATAAGTACAACCAATGGACACAAAACTCTGGGGAGGGAGGGGATGTGTGGGAGGGAGGGTTTTGTCACTTTGCAACAGTAGAGATGCCCCTTCTCCCTTGGGTTAAAATTGTAATCCTTACTCAAAAAAAAATCAATAAAATATATTTTAAAAAATAAATAAAATAAAAATAAAAATAAAATAAAAAACAAAGTAACATACTCCTCTGGCCTAATTTTTGTGCTCTTTTTTTTAATTCAAACTAGTTCTTCACTATTTTGGTGGAGAATAATGGTTCCTCAGAGAAGTCCACTCATGCTCTCTGGAATTTGTGATATATTAGGTTACATGTTAAAGAGGAGTCAAAGTAGCTAATCTGCTGACCATAAAATAAGGAGATTATTCTGGACTATCCAGGTGGCCCAGTGTAAAAACAAGGGTTCTTTAATGTGGAAGATATAGGCAGAAAATGAGAGTGAGAGGAGATGTGACTTTAAAAGTCCCATAGAGCCAGTTTGCTTCAGTGTATAAGAGTGTTGGCCTGTGGACCAAAGGGTCCCAGGTTCAATTCTGCTCAAGGGCACGTACCTCAATTGCAGGAAGCAACCAATCGATATATTTCTCATATATTGATATTTCTGTCTTTCCTCTCTCTCTTTCACTCTCTCTCTAAAAATCCATGGAAAAATATCCGCGGGTGAGGATTAAAAAAAAAAAAAAAGTCCCATAGAAATAAAACAACGCTTGCTTTGAGATTAGAGGAAGGGGGCTAAGACCTTTAGAAACTAGAAAGGACAAGGAAAGAATGCACTGCTGTTGACACATTGACTTTGGCCCTGTGTGAACAGTCTCAGACTCTGACTTACAAAACTGTAGAATAAGAAATTTGTGTTGTTGTAAGCCACTAAATTTGTGGCAATTTTTTTTTTTTTTATAGTAGCAGTACAAAACATTCAACCACCCAAGAATATTTTATCCTATCATTTGTCTAAATTTCCCTTGGGTTAAAATTGTAATCCTTACTCAAGGCCCATGTCAAAAGTTCCTCGACCACTAAGCCTTTCATTCTTCCATGCTGTCCAGATATACCTAGTTACCCCCCGCCAGCATGGCTCAGTGGTTGAGCATAGACCTATGAACCAGGAGGTCACGGTTCGATTCCTGATCAGGGCATGTGCCCAGATTTCAGGCTCTAACCCCAGTGTGGGGCATGCAGGAGGGAGCTGATCAATTATTTTCTCTTATCACTGATGTTTCTCTCTCTCTTCCTTTCTGAAGTCAATAAAAATATATTAAGAACAAAAACAAATATACCTAGTTTTTTTCTCTCTGTTTCTGTCATGCTTTTTTTTTTTCTTGTTTACTTTTTATACTAACTTTTATTTATATGCTATATATAAAGTTACCATTCTTGTGAAATAGAAATTCATGAAAATTCAGAGAGGTAGGTGCTAAGGACTGACAAAAGCAGAAGTTTGTATAGTTTGGCATGTTTTAGGGTAAGCTTTTTGTACAGGCTTCAGATTTAGCTCTCTGAATATTCACTGGTTCAAGAAAAGTGGTTTAGAATACCTTCAAGATTCATTTTACAACAAAAAGGAACAAACTTTCTGGTGTCTGAAGGGATTGGTACTTGAAGATACTCCAGTCAGGGGATCATGTGGAGCATTCTGCAGACAGAATTATTTCCAATCTGCAGCTGCCTGGGGAACCTTCATGTGGTTGAGCTCGGCGGTGACGCTGGAGGAACCAGACACGGTGCACGCGAGTGCCGGGCAGATTGGTCGGTAGCGGGTCTCGGGGTCTCGGGTCTGCAGGGGCCAGATGGTAGGGCAGCGATGCGAGGGGCGGAGTTTGGAACTTCTCTGTGTCATGTTTTTTTACCTTTCTCATGACATCTAGCAATAGAGTTTTAGAATATATTACTTGATATTTTATTATTTTTAAAATGTTATCTTGATATGGTTGTGTATTTATATCTAAATTTGGGTTGTAAAAAAAGGAGATTGAAAAACCTGATGAACAATATTAGCTGTTGATTGTAATAGAGTCGGCAATACGGGAGGGGAGTGGACTGACAGTTCTCCGGGAAAGGGGGAGTGGTGGATGCAGGAAGAGATTGAACATAAACTGTGCACCTATGGATGAGGACAGTGGGGGGTCGGGAGGGGATGGAGGGTGGGGTGGGAACCTGGTGGAGGGGGGAAGAAATGAGGAACCTTTGTTGTAATATGAACAATAAAGATTGATTTAAGAATTAAAAAAAAATAAAAAATGAAAAAAAATTTCTGATCTATGGAAATCCCCCCCCCCAAAAAAAAAAAAATTTGGGTTGTATGTGTAAGAAAATTTTACATTATGTAGTTATACCTTTAGGGTTTTTTTTGGTGTGTTTTTTAATCCTCATCCGAGGATATTTTCCCATGGATTTTATTTATTTATTAAAATATATTTTGTTGACTTTTTACAGAGAGGAAGGGAGAGGGACAGAGAGCTAGAAACATTGATGAGAGGGAAACATCGACCAGTTGCGTCCTGCACACCTCCTACCAGGGATGTGCCCGCAACCAAGGTACATGTCCTTGACCAGAATTGATCCTAGGACCTTTCAGTCCGCAGACCAATGCTCTATCCACTGAGCCAAACCGGTTTCAGCTTTCCATGGATTTTTAGAGAGTAGAAGGGAGAGGGAAAGACAGAAATATCGATGTAAGAGAAGCACATCAAATGGTAGGCACTGCACAAGCCCTGAATCAGGGCTGAGGCCTGGGAGGAGCCTGCAACCAAGGTACATGCCCTTAACCAGAATCAAACCTGGGACCCATTGGTCTGCAGGCTGACGCTCTGTCCACTGAACCAAACCAGCTAGGGCATCCCTCTAGTTTAAAACATTTTTAAAAATATATATATTTTATTGGTTTTTTACAGAGAGGAAGGTAGAGGGACAGAGAGCTAGAAACATCAATGAGAGAGAAACATCGATCAGCTGCCTCCTGCACACCCCCTACTGGGGATGTGCCCGCAGCCAATGTACATGCCCTTGACCGGAATCGAACCTGGGACCTTTCAGTCCGCAGGCCGACGACTCTATCCACTGAGCCAAACCAGTTTCGGCTAGTTTAAAACATTTTTAATGTTAACTTTCATTTTAGACCAAGAGATAGGTGGTTCAATCTTACTTTTTTTTTTTTAATTGAATAGCAGACTATTTTAAAGAATACCTATTTTTGTTGATTTCACAGAGGGAGAGAAAGAGATAGATAGAAACATCAATGATAAGAGAGAATAATTGATCAACTGCCTCCTGCATGCCCACTACTGAGGATTGAGCCCGCAACTGGGCATGTGCCCTTGACCAGAATCAAACCTGGGACCCTTAAGCCTGCAAGCTGATGCTCTATCCACTGAGCCAAACCACCTAGGACAGTAGCAGTCTATTTTGCATATGGTTAGCAGTTCACTTGTTTGACTTAAACTAAATGTACCTGTGGATTAGGTCCTATAATTTAAATTTGCAAATCAAAATATTAAAACCATAGTGGTGAGTTCTGTCCCATATATTGAAAGAGTTATAATGAAGTTATTGTGAGGCATATTTTCAGTTTATATATACTGAACTTATTAAAACCAGTTATTGATATTAAAGATAAATTATAGCATCTTTACGCAGATTTTAAGCAAGGACAGATTTTTTTGTTTTGTTTCTTTTTATGTACTTTAGGTAGTTTTGTGTCTGAAAAGACAGATATTTAGTTGCTTCCCAAGACTCTTAAATCTTGATTTACCAGGTTTGTCTTTCTATTTTGTGAGTGTGTGTGTGTGTGTGTGTGTGTGTGTAATTGATTTTAGAGAGAGAGGAAGGGACAGGGATAGAGAGAGAGAAACATTTATAAGGCAGCCTCCTGCACACCCCGCACAGGGCATTGAGCCCAGAACCCAAGTATGTAACCCTGACCAGGAATCAATCTGGTTATCTCTTGGTTCATGGGTCCACGCTCAACCACTGAGCGATACTGGACATGCTGTACATTTCTATTTTGAAATGATTTTTTAGGAGGATGATGTTAACAGATATATAGTGTTTCTTTTTTAACTAAGAAATATATATTGGAGATTGGTCATAATTAATATTTATAATATTTAAAAAGTTTAATCTTTTTAAAAAGATATCGTTTTATTGACTTCAGAGAGGAAAGGCCAGGAAGAGAGAGAGAAACATCAGTGATGAGAAGGAATCATTGATTGACTGTCCCTTGCATGTTGGACCAAGCCTGTAACCCAGGCATGTGCCCTTGACTGGAATCGAACTTGGGATCCTTCTTCAGTCAGCAGGCCGATGCTCAATCCACTGAGCCAAACTGGCCAGGGCAAAAAAATTTAATCCTTTAACAGTGATTCCAAATGTGAAGAAAGAGCAGAATTGTCTTCTCTAATTATAGGAAAACAAGTTTTGGAGGAATAAAAGAAATTTCAGAGGAATTGATGTCTCTTTTTTATGCCATATTTTTGAGTACTCAATGTGGTTTGTATCTTACAGAATGGAGATGTATGCATTTCAATTCTTCATCCACCCGTAGATGATCCACAGAGTGGTGAACTGCCCTCCGAAAGGTGGAATCCTACTCAGAATGTCAGGTAAGGGGTTGATAAGAAATAATCTGGTTTTTAGGTGTTTCTTAAGATTGGATTTTATTTTTTTAAGTACAAAAAAATCCTTTTATATTTGGTTATTTTGTCTTCTGCTAGAGCTTTAAGTAGCTTGTATGCATCATTTTGAAAAGTTGTATCTATGGAACAATAATGCACATGTTACTCCTTTATGTTTGCCTTGGGAGAAATTTTCTAGTATGAATTAATTCTTCCTCTTACTTTATCGTAAGTTTCTTTTGCATCTTGGATCTCATGATTTTCAGTTTGCATTGATTGTTCCTTTATTCTAGGATTCTTTTTACTTTTTGCAGAAAGGTCTTATTTTTTCCAAACTGAAAATTGACTTAACATGCTACCTAAAAATTAAAAAATATATATTTTGTATTGATTTTTGGAGAGAGGGGAAGAAAAAAGGAGAGAGAGAGAGAGAGAGAGAGAGAGAGAGAGAGAGAGCGAGAGAGCGCGCGCGCGCGCGCGCGCGCGCGCGCTAAGAATGTGAGAACCAAATATCAATCAGCTGTTTTTTGCACACCCACTACTGGGGATCACCCACAACCCAGGCATGTGCCCTGACCGGGAATCAAACAGGCAAACTTTTAGTGCCTAAGACAACATCCAACCAACTGAGCCACACTGGCCAGGCTACATGCTACCTTTAACAGAGCTTCCATTATCCATTGTTTTATATATAGGGTATTCCAAAAAACTATATATACTCACTTTGAATAATTGTAAATGCAGTGTTTGTCAGAATACATTTCATTTTCAAAAGGGAGCTATCAATTGTACATTTTTTAGGAATACCTTATATATGTGGATGTGTCTTATGATTTGGAAGGCTTGTACAATATATTTGTGATTTCCTTTATTGATTAATCTGTTGACCCATCTATCTGGATATTTAATCATCTGTTCTTTTTTTGTTGTTATTCCTTACTGGAAGACATTTTTCCCATTGATTTTAGAGAGGATGGAAGGGAGTGAGGATGGAGGTGGAGAGAGAGAAACATCAATGCGAGAGCGCCACAACAGATGGTTGCCACCGCAACTTGCCCCAATCAGGGCGGGTAACCTGCAGCCCAGGTACTTGCCCTTGGCTGAAATCAAACCCCTGACCCTTTGGTTCAAGGGCCAACACACTAATCACTGAGCAGCATCTGCCACACTGTCAGTCTTTTTTTCTTTTTTTTTTAATAACTTTTATTGCGATATAATTTCCATACTGTATAATTCTCTGATTTCAAGTGTACAGTTCATAGGTTTTTAATATACTCACAGCATTTTGTAGCCATTACCACAATCACTTTTAGAACATTTTCATCACCATTAAACTTACACCTGTCATTTATACTCAACTCCATCCCACCCTTCCACCAGTCTGCCTCCTGTCTTTATGAGTTTACCTATTCTTACATTTCATATGAATGGAATCTTACAATATGTAGTATTTTGTGTCTGGCTTCGTGAACTTAGCTGAACATTTTCAGTGTTCATCCGCATTGTAACATAACATTTTATTCTTTTTTGTGGCTGAATAATATTCCATTAAATGCTTATACCACTATTTGTTTACCCATTACTTACTTGATGAACATTTCAGGTTATTTCTTTGGCTGTTATGAGTAAGCTGATATGAATGTTGTGTACATGTACATGTTTCTTTGGATATATACCTGGGGATGAATTTGTTGGGTCATATGGTAATTCAATGTTTAACTTTTTGACGAACTGCCAGCCTGTTTTTCTGTGTGGCTGCACTAAGTAGTACATCCCCACCAAGAAGTGTGTAAGAATTCCGATTTCTCCAGGTCTTTATTAGCACATTATCTGTGTTTTTAAAATTATAGTCATTCTAATGGGTAATTGTGGTTTTGTCTTTTTTGTTTTATATAACTTAAAATTTTAGAACAGTTTAGATTTTCAGTAAAATTGTGAAGTATAATTTCCATATACCCTGCACCTGCCAGTTTTCTTTATTTTCTTTATTTTATTTATTTATTTTTTTAAATATATTTTTTTTATTGATTTTGTACAGAGAGGAAGGGAGAGAGGTAGAGAGTTAGAAACATCGATGAGAGAGAGAGTCATCGATCAGCTGCCTCTTGCACACCCCCTACTGTGGATATGCCCGCAACCAAGGTACATGTCCTTGACCAGAATCGAACCCGGGTCCCTTCAGTCCCCAAACCGACGCTCTATCCATTGAGCCAAACCAGTCTCGGCTGCCAGTTTTCTTTAATATTAATATCTAACATTAGTGTGATTCCAGTTATTATAGTGAACCAATATTAAATACATTGTTTTAAGTAAAGTCCATACTCTTTCACGTTTCCTGTTTTTACCTTACGTCATTCTTCTGCTCCAGAATCCCAGGCAAGATACCATATTATATTTAACTAGTAGCCCTGCACACAAATCTGTGCACCAGTAGCTCTTTGCCACCCCGCCCTCCTGTCTCCCTCTGCCTTCCCAATAGCTTGCTGCCCTGCCCCCTCCTGTAGCTCTCCACCACCTGCTTGTAGTTTTGTGCCCCACCCTCCTGTAGATCTGTGATCTGGTCGTTATGTGGTTGGTCATTATGCCTATTCCTCTCTTATTTTATAGGACTAGAGGCTCGGTGCACGAAATTCATGCACGGGGGGTGGTGGTGTGTGCATGTGTCCCTCAGCCCAACCTGTACCATCTCTAATCTGGGATCCCTCTCACAATCCAGGACTGCTGGCTCCCAACTGCTTACCTGCCTGCCTTCCTGATTGCCCCTAACCACTTCTGCTTCCCAGCCTGATCACCCCTAACCACTCCCTTGCCAGTCTGATTGATGCCTAACTGCTTCCCTGCCAGCCTGATTGCCCTCAGCTACCTTCCCCTGTAGGCCCAGTTGCCCCCAACTTCCCTCCACTGTCGACTTGGTCATTCCTAACTGCCCTCCTCTGCAGGCTTGATCACTCCCAACTGCCCTCCCTTGCAGGCCTGGTCCCTTCCAACTGCCCTTCCCTGCTGGCCATCTTGTGTCCACATGGGGTCAGTCATCTTGTAGGTTGTAGTGATGGTCAATTTGCATATTACTCTTTTATTAAATAGGATTAGATAGGATAAGCATGTTTCTTTAGGCAACTGGGACAGTTTCTTAAGACTATTTTTTTTTTTAATGAACTTGACAATTTTGAGGAGTACTGATAAAGTATTTCATTCCCCAGTTGGTATTTTTAATTGCTTTTCTGGTTATTAGACTGGATAGTGAATAGGGGGAAGAAAATCATAAAAGTAAAGTACTGTTGACCCCTGAATAACATGGTTTAAACTGCATGGGCCCAGTTATAATGAATATTCTTTTCAGTAAGTATATAGTTGGCCCTCCATATCCCTGGGTTTATATTTCATTCAAGCAATCACAGCTCAAAAACAATATTTTAGGAAATTTGCAGATTTTGTAATGCATTCATTGTTCACACCATTTTATACAAGGGACTTGACCACCCCACATAGTTGAGTATCTAAGGGGGATCCTGGAGCCGTGCAGTTACTAGCAAGCTTTGGGAAAATCAAAAGTTACATGTGGATTTTGACTCTACAGGAATTGTCACCTTCAACCTTTGCATTGTTCAAAGGTCAGCTGTGTATTTTCTTTATGTCATATCAAGGGTGCATACTATAAACATTTTTTATCACAATACTAACATTCATTACATTCTGACTGAAAGTATTTTAGCGTTTCTCCACTATCCCTCCTTTCCCCCTTTCCACTCTGTGCTCTTTGGAAGGAAGTCCAGCCCACACTTTAAGGAGTGGGGAATTATATCTTCTAGATCTAGAGGCTGAAATATCTGCATAAATTATTTCAAGTTCTTCTGCAATAAGATTGATCTATTCTCCCTATTTATCTGTTGATTAAATAATGTTGTTACTCGTTTTTATTTATCTGAAAGCTTGTAACTTGATTAGGATCTCCACTTTTTCAAAAGTAAAGAATTGAAAGCTTTCTGACCTGCACCAGGATTTCTTACCCAGTTATTAGTGAGTTATTTCTCACTTTCTGGGACATGTATACCAAAAGGTTCATGTGTTCAAGGCATATCAAATAAGTATTGATTATGCTCATTACTCATTCATTTAGGTACCTTGTTCAATCCAAAATACTTAGAAAGGGTTGAGAAACTAGATATACAGCATGGGGCAAAAATAAGTTCATAGTTGTCACTGCACGAAACTCAATTTATTCTTACATTATTTTCTATATGAACAATTGTAAATCTACTTTTGCCAACTCCTGTATTTTAATCTGATACCCTCCTTTCTACTATGTGTTCTCAGTGATATGTTGGTCAGCAGCAGCAGCTTTAGGGCTTACACAGCAGGAACTGCTGTTATATTTGTTAGTTGCTTTACTAGCATTGAAGAAAAACTTTTTGTAGTATGTGGCCCATTTAGCTATATCATTTTCTCAGCCAAAACAGATTTCTTTGCCACAATGTCCTCTTTAAATTATTCTCCCATCTTTAAAACATGTAATGAGGACTGAGTTTTAACTTTTGAAATAGTGCACTAGTAAACGAATCAAGTAAATTTAGGTTTTAAGAATGAACCCTTTCTCACATGCTGTGTGGAGGGGTATGTGTATACCTTGGGAGGAAAAATGCCAATGTTCAATTCTGCAAAATTCTAAACTTTTCCTAAGTTTCCAGGAAGACCCATAAGCCAAATTTATTTCATTGTGTGTGCTAGGACCAGTTTTCTGCCCTCCCAGCCAGAATACTTGTGATGGCATAGCAACAGAGAAAGGACAGACCCATCTCATTGACCACTGTCTTTCTTGAAAAGGGACAAATACAATATTACCCATTGGGTTATAGATGTCTAATTCAGATTTTCTTTCTCCCTTAATGCTTCTATAGTTACTTGTTTTTAAAACATTTTAATGCTATACAACTTTACAACCTGCTTTTTGCTGTGTGTGTATGTGTGTGTGTGTGTGTGTGTGTGTGTGTGAGAGAGAGAGAGAGAGAGAGAGAGAGAGAGAGAGAGAGAGAGAGAGAGAGATATTAGTTGGCCTCCATGTTCTCTGGGTATTTTTGTTTACAAATTTATTTTTTATTCAAAAGACGATAGCCAGTGATAATATCTCTAATAAAGATACTGAAGCAGGCAAAAGGATCTGAAACATGAATCTGAAGACTGTCTAAAGTGCTTTTCCCTATCCTTTTGTCAGTACTTCTTTCTCCTCTTAGCATTTTCCCATTTTCCCAAAACTTTTAACCATCATCCCTTATTCTGGCTTAAACAGGGATGGAGGGAGCACATTTTTCCTAATAATATCCCTAATTTTGGGAATTGTGCAGTAACTTGAAAACACTTTAAAACTCTATATCCAAAATTTTTACTGGTTTATATAATATGTGTTGTGTGTTGTAACACATGTTAAAACACACCACTGGATTTGGGCAATCAGACATGTTCCTCTATACCCAGTTAGTGAATGACAGTGGTGTTTTTCTTTATGGGAACTGAGAGTCTCGAGATGGGCCCTAAAAGTCTATTCTGCTAATTCAAGAAATTTATGTCCAGATGCCACAAGATTGTCTAAATGGACAAATGCAACTCTGTTATTCAAAGCCAGAGCTTCATGTGGAACCATGAGTTTATATGGACGTAATGAGACTAAAATAGAGTGTATGCTGTTTTCCTGATTTCTTCCCCTTTGTTCATCATCTGCAGGAAACCAATCCCTCTAATGGGCTGTGAGTACCCTCTTCATTGGGGGATACTAATTTGATAGTTTAATTATTCTTTCTTTCCCTTTTCACCTATTGTTAACCCTCCTGCCTTTTTTCTTCTGAAAAGAGAAATGAACAAAGATTTAAAAATACTTACATGAAATAACAAAAAACATGTTTGTACATTTTTTAAAATATATTTTATTGATATTTTACAGAGAGGAGGAAGAGAGAGAGCGAGCGAGCTAGAAACGTCGATGAGAGAGAAACATCGACCAGCTGCCTCTTGCACACCCCCCACCGGGGATGTGCCTGCAACCAATGTATAATACATGCCCTTGACCGGAATCTAACCTGGGACCTCTCAGTCTGCAGACCGACGCTCTACCACTGAGCCAAACCGGTTTCGGCTGTTTGTACATTCTGTCAGCAAGGTCTTAGCAATTTAGTTTTTCCATTCTATAAAAGCAAGATTAATAGTACTTACCTTGCAGAGTTTACTATGCTAGAGGTGTAGTACAATGCCCTGTGTTGATTTATTATGATGGACATTTTAAACTATGTATGACATTTTTTTCTAAGCCTTTTCCAGTTGTGGTATATAGAAAAAGGAAATGATAGTTAGGTCTGACCCACCCAACTGATGAGGGTATCATTATAGGTATAATTAACCTGCAACCCAACCCATCCACAACATAGTGGTTTGGAAACTTGGAGTGTTTTGCATCAGAAATCTTTGAGAGAGAGAAAAATCTCAATTCTGCTTTGTTCTATATTGCCTTATATTAGGCTGGCTCTCACCACTTGGTAACAAAGATGGTCACCTGCGCTATATTTTCTATATTGTTATTAAACCAACAAGAATTAAAAATTCTTTTTAGGTTAGAAAAATGAGTTCCCACCAGGGTTCTGATTGTCCCAACTTAGTTTGCATGCATATCCTCAAACCCATCCTCATGACAAGATGATGGAATCCTTTGGCCAGTACTTGGTGGTATGTCTACTGCTCTGGGTTTAAGTAGGTTGTTTGTATGAACATGTAGCATGATGGTGGATTCTCTATACAAAAATAAATAAAATTGTGCTTTCCAGATGAAGGGAGAAAGTAAAAACGTGCTGGGTTAACTATTATCGCAATCCACTGTGGTACCTAATGCTTCTGAAAGCATGTGGTTTTCAACTTAGGAGTATATTGCAGTAGGAGTGGGCTTGTTTGGAACAAATGTATGATTCACCATTATTAAAAATTGCATTACCCAGTATAGTATTTTAATAATATACACAAGATGTTATAAAAACTAACTTGGTGAAACTAATTTGTGGGGAGATTTTTCTTAATATGATTCATCTAGACATGTGGCTTTTTCAATTTCTTTAGTATATTATTAGCATATTATGCTTTGATTGGTTGAATGAACGACTGGACACTGAGCATATTAGGCTTTTATTTTATATAGGATGTTCTGTATGTTTTCTTCAGAAGCAACCCTTATGGAATTTTCTACCTACACTTTTGCTTTTAGGATGTTATGTGAATCCATTTCCCATTATTGGCAGTGATGAGTTTCTTTGAATCTTTTTAATTAATTATTGGAGAAAACTATAAGGACCTTGGCAGGAAGGGCAAGGAGTTATTTCTAACCTAATAGAAAGGTGTGTGTATGAGAGATAGATTTTAACTAGATGGGAACTTTTTCTTTGAAAGTGCCTTTGTCATAATTTTGTATAATCACGTAACAGAAACTCTTTGCCCTTTTTAGGAAAAGGTTTCATCAAATCAAACATCTAATTGTCTGGTCCCCTCCCTTTATTTTTTGCTTGGGGCCAGGAGCAAAAGGCTATTTTGCAACAACACAATGTATAACCTCGCACCAATGAGAAAAGGTAGAGAAATTTAATTTTTTTCTCCCATTTTTCTCCTTTCATACATGCACACAGCTTGTAGGGGGAAAAAGCCTGGGAATAGTCTGGAATATTTTTGGAGGCTATTGTGCTCTTTTGGTTATTTTATCTAACTGAAACTGTATTCCCCATGACTAAGGTGTCTAGTTTTTATCTGTGGATAAAAATTGCCTGTTTATATCTCCCACAAGCTATATAAGCCCTGAGAATTCAGGGATGACATCTAATTTGCTCACTATTACACAGCCAACATCTTACTTGGTGCTTCTGGCACATAGTAGGTGCTTAGAAAAAAAAATTTTGAATAAAGATTTCTATTGAGACAAGTTCTTTTTCCTTTGTCCTTTGTCTCTGTCTTCCTTTCTTTAAAAGTATGAAAAGAAACACATTTCCATATAATACTGGGTGTTTGTTTTTTCTTTTAGATCTTATGAACAGCCACGATTAGAAATGGATGTATGAAGTAGCATCATGTTTCCCTCCCATGAAAAAATTGCCTTGAAGCTAAATGTTTTTTGCTTTTCGAAATTTTCCTTATTGCACTTAACTTGTAACATCTGAAGCAAACTTGTGGGGAAAATTTCTAAAATATAAAATGTTATTTGAAAAGCTTCCAGACTTTTTGCAGATTGGAGTATGTAGCCAGTTGAGATAGTCTTCTACAGTTGTATGTCCTGCAACAGGATCTCATGCTAGGCTCACATATTTCCTCTGCTTTTATCTCCTAGTTAGCCTAACCAGCTGAGTACTGAAAACAAATCTTCGTTTCCCTAGGCCTCAAATATTGTAGTCTTTAATTTTAAAAAATACTTTTGAATTCTGTGAATATGAGTATTTGTAGCTGATTTTTATTTATTTATTTATTTTTTTTACCCCCTTGTTTCTAGGACTATCCTGTTAAGTGTAATCTCATTGCTTAATGAGCCCAACACCTTCTCCCCAGCCAATGTGGATGCTTCAGTTATGTTCAGGAAATGGAGGGACAGTAAAGGAAAAGACAAAGAATATGCTGAAATCATTAGGTAAGGTGCTTTGTTTTTGGTTTGATCATTTCAAGTCTTTTTACTTAGAACCAAAGTAATATCCTAGAACCAGAAGTTTAAATTGAATTTCATCATCTACTCCATTTCTCTCAATGAGGTATTTTGTTTAGGAAGAGATTTGTGCTTGAGACTAATGAGTTTGGCTTTTGGAGAATACATACAAGATAATGTAGCAGGTGTGATTTCCTGGGAACCAGAGCTTCTAGGTTCTGAGCCAGTTTGCAAACTTTCTCTTGTAATCATTTTAGGGATGATTGTATTATTTTGGACTTTCAACATTCCATTAAGTATAGCAAGCAACCAATCATTCCAGGTAATTTCGTTTTCAAAATTTTTATTAATGAAGCCCTATTCTTCTGGGCATGATCATCATCAGCAACATTAGTATATGGTCTAACAGAATCTTTGAATAAGAGGCGGCTTGGGATCTACTCCTAACAGCCAAAAAGTTAACTGATAACCTTTTTATCAGTTAACTTTTTGGCTGTTTAGTTTTTCTGTGTAAAAGGGGGGCGGGAAATAGAAAAGATATTAAGCTCTTGATCATTTCCTGAGTAGGACATAAGGTTTTCATAAATATCCAAGATTGGTACTTGAATTGCAATAAATCTAATTACCCTCAATACAACTGCATTTTTATATTTATTAAGTTTATACAAACTCTAGTAAGAACTAGAATTTAGCGAGTCCCTCTCTATAAATCTAGTCAACATAATACAAATGAATTAGATCATAGAACAAATACTAGTGGTAAGTAGGATAATGTGAGGGAGTGATGATTGCTTTAAATTGGGTTGTCAGGGCAACTTCCTCTATGGTGATATTTAAGTTTATGTCTGAGTGATAACAAGTATACCATGTGATATTAAAAGCAAACATGTAGAAAAAGGCATGTCATCTGATAGCTGAACAATGTGGAAACACCGTTAGAACTCCTCCATACTCCAATCCATAATCATGTAATGAAATTATAGGGATGGATAGAATGTAGACATCTGTTTTGTTTCTTACCAGCCACCTAGGTGATTGGTATACACCAGAGATTGAAGGTAACTAGTAAAAATAGTAAGGGCGTATAGAGGAGCAGGAGTGGATTAATTTAAAGATGGAAATGCTTCATTAAAAACAGGGTTGAAGCCTGATGTTCAAAGGAAGAAGGATTTAGTTAAGTGAAGCATCCAGAGGTATTTGTATTCTTCCTGTTTCTTTATCTCATTATATTCTTTCAACATATTTTATGCACCAGCATTGTGTCAGGTACACTGCTAAGTCATTAAGCTGTATTCTTTTTCCCTGGGGAGCTCACTTTACTTAGCAAAAAATGAGGGCAACTATAGCAGCTTTAACAAGATATACCGGAAGGAATATATAATACTATGGAGTTCCTAGGAGATAATGCCTCATAAATAAGAATTTCCTTTTATGAGCAAAGAAAAAATCTCTTTAGGGAAAGAAACATGTTTGCTAAAACACAGGTGTGTGACAGCATGGCATGTCAAGAGAATTGTAAGTAGTTTTACATTGCTTGAATATAAATTCTGATTTGGGAAATTAAGAGGCATCAATCAGGTCTTAAAAGACATTGATGTGCCCTAGCCTGTTTGGCTCTGGATTGAGTGTTGGCCTACAGACTGAAGGATCCAGGGTTCGATTCTGGTCGGGGGCACATGCCCAGGTTGTGAACTCAATCACCAGTGGGGGGCGGGGGGGTGCAGGAGGCAGCCAATCCATGATTCTCCTTGATATTTTTCTCCCTTCCTCTCTGATATCAATAAAAAATATTTTTTTAAAAAGGACATTGATGAGAGACAAACAGGAGAAAAAATATCTGAGAAAATTGCTGTATGATCAGTATTTAAGATTTGCTTTTCAAAAGGTCATTATTAAGCATCCTTCAGAATGGCGCCTGAGAGGCTGACTGCTTTTGGGGTAAGAGAGGCTTTCAGGCAGGCACTAAAAGTTTAGAAACCTGAGTTATAAGGAATCTTATATAGAAACACCAATTATAAACTCATCTTCAAAACACATACATAAACTACCCTCTTCCTTCAGAAAACAGGTTTCAGCCACTAAAGCCGAAGCAGAAAAGGATGGAGTGAAAGTCCCCACGACCCTGGCGGAATATTGCATCAAAACTAAAGTGCCTTCCAATGACAACAGCTCAGATTTGCTTTATGACGACTTGTACGACGATGACATTGATGATGAAGATGAGGAGGAGGAAGATGCCGACTGTTATGACGACGACGATTCTGGGAATGAGGAGTCGTGACCTGCTCCTTCGAAGCCCCTGTACTGCCCTGCCATCTCAGGCCAAAGGGAGGGGAGCAAGTGGGGACCTAGCAGTGGCCCCTCAGCAAAAACCTATCACAGGGGGTGGGGAAAACAAACACACGGCTCCTGCCGACTCCCCTGGTGGATCTCAGTTCGCTCCTTCTATGGACCTCTTAATGAAGAGAAGGTAATCCTCCACAGAATGTCCGAATTCTTGCATTCTCTACCCTTCCATCACTGTATTGATTTTCCCCCCTTTAAACCCAAACCCCTGCCTCACTTCGTCTCTACAAAGTGTTCACAGCAAAACACGTTTGGTCTGTTTTTAGATTCTTGAAGAATTAAATAGTCTTTCATCAAGATGTTTAATGTGTTTAAAGCTGGGAACCCATTGGGAGTTCACAAGTGCTGCATATGCTGGGTAGGAAGAGAAAATGGAAACAACCCCCCAAAATCCCACAAGACAAACTTCAAAATTTTTGCCAAGGTTTAGCGGCTCCATTTACATTAGTGTGTGCACATTTGTTCCGCCCCATGTTGGTGAATTTTGTTTCTTTCCAGTTCTTAAGTCTGGGTACGGCGGGCATCAGGGACTCTGTGCTAAGACTGATGAAATGTGTTCCTAAGGGCACCTCGCCCCTTCAGCCTCCAGGAAATCATCCTAACACAGAGGTCTCAGCTGTTCTGAGGAAAGAAATCAGAGTTTGGTTTTTGAAATTGATTGGGATCTAAAGCCTGAAATAAATATTCATACTTTACATAGAACTGAGCACTTGATTGCTATTTATTTTAAAGGCAGAGTTGTTCTTCTCCCACCCCCACCCCAGGGAGTTGTGGGGGAGTCTTGGTGATGGCAACAAAGAGATAAAATCATTATGCCAATTTTGGTTGATGCTGCTGGGCTGGAGGGGGTCAAAACTACTGGTGACCACTGTTGGGAGAGAGAACATCCGTTTTATTTATTTAACAAGGCCTTTCCGTCAAAGATACACTCACCATGAGGATATATTTTTTTTAAGTAGCCAGTTTTAATTACTCAGTATTAATACTAAGTGCATGTGTTACAATTTTGGTTTTCATTGAGCTAGTGATATCTGTGGATAAATGAGACAAGAGTGACCAGTTACCTTTCTCATTGGCTGTAACCTGGACTTTGCTCTTCTTCCAATGTACTGTCTGGCTGTGAAGTGCAAGAATTGTGCATGGAACTTGCCTTGGGTTTCTTGAGACTCTTCTGCCCAGGGAGTTGGCTGCAGGCAGTCTGGGTGATGCTAGATCTTCCTTCTGTGCAATGGCTGCAGCTTTGATGTCCCTGGTCTCAATCATGTGTTACTTCAATCAATTCTGAGCTCCATCAGCCTTCACCAACCAGGGACTTCAGAACTTGGCAGTGATTTCTGTTTCTTATGGGAGTGGGCCAGTTCATATAAGGGCAGTGTTCTTTCAGTGGGGAAAATTGTTAATGTAAAATCCCAGGTTTTGGGAGGAAAATACAGCAAAGACTGACTATAATCCTACTTCAGGTCCCTGTGCACTAGTGTCAACTCCTTTTCTTCAAATCTTAGCTCAGAAAGAACAAAAGGGTTGATGAGGGACGAGGTAGAATAGATTCTAGAACAGAATAGGTGATGCTTACTTCCTTAGCTCCTCCTTCCTTTCTGATCTCAGGGTTTTCATTCGCTCTTCAAACTCTCCAAAACGTGCTAATTCCCAGCAACCCCCTCTGGCCTCTGAAGTTTGGTCTAGTATTAAGTGAAAACATTTAACGTGTTAAGGTTAAAGTGGGAATAGTGAGCCTGCTCCCAGAATCTGTCCAAGTTCCACGGTGCCAGGACTACTTGTACCCTTGAATCTAGTGACTCAGATTCAGTAAATAACTCTTTGAGATAAAACACGGACTGCAAACTCTTAAGGATGTTAAAACTATGTTTTTGCTCCTCATACTTAAGTCATGCTTCCGAATAACCTGCAAATCTTAATGGAGCCCAAAGTCTCTCATAATGCCGATTATTCTCTACCCTCTCAACAAACCCTCCTCCCCGACGTTCACAGCAGGTAGCTTGGTTTTATAGAGCCCTATAATTAAGCCGCTGTACCCCCTTCCCCACTTACTGCTAAAGCATTTCTTTCCCAGGGCAGACCAGGCATGTTGGCAACGTGGGAGGTGCTATGCTGTTCAGCCTGGTCCCATTAGGCCCTGTTGGCCTGTTGCACGTTGACTCAGGGAGCCAGAGAGCCAGGTGGAGGTGGTACCTCCCAGCCCTGTGGGGTGTAACAGTGAGGGCTGGGTTTGCCTCTGATAGAATACAATCAGAAGACTGGAGTGTGGTGATTTGGTAGCACGTAGACATTCTGATAGCTCACACTGACTTGTAAAACCCAGGTGATGGTTCCAGAGCTCTGACTTGAGAACACATCCTGTGGCAAAAGAAAACTTGAGCTTACTGTAACTTTAGGAGTGGCGATCTCCAGTGGAACCTTGTGAGTACCCTTGTGCTGATTTGGTATAATGAGCTCAAAATCCTGCATTTTTTAATTCCTTCGATTCTAGCGGAGGCCTCTCTGGGTGCTCTTCAAGTCTGTGTTTTTTGGGGCTGGGTGGAGAAAGTAGATCATCATGATTCTGTTGTTGCTTCTCAAAGTCTTCCCCTCTATTTCATATCATTCCAGAGCTCTCTTCTATTAGCCAGACTTTTTCTTTTTTGTAGTCTCTTCTTTCCTCTCCCTGGTAATTATTTGTTTATTTGCTGGTTTCCTTATTTTTTGGGACATACATGGTAAGAGATTGAAGGGGAAAAGTGTAGTCCTCCACTGAAAATTAACTTTCCACCCCTCCCACGCTGATAAAGGTTTACATTCACAAATTCAGATGCAATTTTCAACTATTCTAAAACCAGCAGGTCAGACCTGACTTTAATAATTTTCTTAGCTGAAATTGTAGATGTTTTTCTTCAGTTTAACTTATGAGAAAAGATTATCTGATAAATTTTGTGTTGAATTTCCCTTTAGTGGTTTATTTTGTCTTTTTCTGCCCATCTGTCTACTAATAAAATGTGAAATAAAATATACCTGTATTGCTACTTCCCCATGGGATGACCCTCTTCTTTCTTTTCTCGTGTTAAAATTAAAAGGTCTTAGTATCTCCACTGTTCCCTTGCAGATTATGCCTCGGATTCAGCTGAAAAATTAAAATAAAAACCAACTCTTGCTGACCTGCCTTTAATAACATTCTGCTCGGCTCACCTTGCAGACTAAATATCCCCAGTCCTTACCCAACTTAAATAAAGGTTATTAAAGACAGCCATTTGTTAACCTTAATTCTGAAATAGGACACAGTCTGCCAGCGGCACAATTAGGTCAGTGGAAGGGATGGAGGTGCTCCACTGCCCTCCTTAGGAGGCCTTTGTTTTCACTGTCACCTCTCTTCCTGACTTCCTGCTGCTAAAAGCAAGGAGCAGGCAGGATACCAGTTTAACGAAAACTCCCTTTTAGTTTCAGTTTGGACCTTTACTCCCCCCTCCTTCCCCTTTTTTTGTTGTTGTTAATCCTCACCTGAGGATGTTTTCTCGATTTTTAAGGAGAGTGGAAGGGAGAGAGGAGAGAGAAACATCAATGTGAGACACATCGATTAGTTGCCTCCCTAATATGCGCCCTGACAAGGGTTGGGGATTGAACCTGCAGTCCATGTACATGCCCTTGATTAGGAATTAAACCGGAAACCCTTCAGTGTGCAGGCTGACGCTCTAACCACTGGACATGCTGGCCAGGGCCACTTACCTTTTTTTTTAAGCTAGGATCCCAAACTGGATTAACAGCAGAACCTCTCTGATCTGATGAAATGATTTTAGAGGCAAAAGTAGAAAAGGTAAAGACTATAATCCAGGCACACTACCTTGACTTGAAGCAACACATTTTGCCCAGGATCTACTTAACCTATTTTTTTTTTTTTCTTTCCTTTTTTGTTACTCCGCACCCAAGGATACTTTTCCATTGGTTTTTAGGGAGAGTGGAAAGGAGAGAGAGACATCAATTAGCTGTCTCCTACATGCAGCCCAACCAGGGCCAGGGAGCATGTAACCAAGGTGCATGCCCTGACTGGAATTGAACTCAGTACCCCGAGTCCGCAGGCTGATGCTCTATCCACTGAGCCAAACCAGCTAGGGTGCACTTACCTATTTCATACCACCTTGACTCCCTAGTCACATGTTCCACCACAGCCTTGACTGTCAATCAAGATTGTTTGGTTGACGAAAAGCAAAGGTTTAGCTGTTCAAACTTATTCTCTCACCGGCCTAGAATTGTGGTTGCAATTTTTACCTTTGCTCCTTTGGAAGAGAAATTACCCTGCCCAGCTATTTCTGCTGACAGACCCAATAAGAGACTGTTATGGAGCTACAAGAAAAGAAAGTAAACCGGGAAACACTGCCTGTGCCTTGTCAGGAACGTTTGCTGTCTTTTTAGCCGAAATCATTTCCTTGAATGCTATTTGGAAACAAGGCAAGAGAAGGGCCCAGCAAAGAGAGGACCAGTTTAAACCCTCCACCTGTTGCCAAGAAGACTGACCACGTGAGCTCTACTTCAGCCCTGTGAAGTCCAAAGGTCCCTGGAACTATAAGGAGAGGGCCTCGGCCCTAAACTCTCCTTCAGTTACACCACACACAGACTGGGCATGCTCTCAGAACTTTATTAGGTGGACTTTGGGCAAAAGAGAAAACCCTGAAGCAGTCGCCCACCTGGTTCAGGACAACTGGAAGAGGAGCTTTGCATGGAGACGTGCTCTTGTGGAACGTTATCTGATTTTTAAAAAGGGGAGCTGACACCTGGCTTAACACTTCTGAGCACAAATTCGGATTATTATTAAAATGGCCAGCCAGAGGAAGGCAAGTCCCTGGGGACAAGAGCAGGCCAGAAGCAGATACCCCTGCTCTATATGAAGACAAACAGGTGCCACTTTCATGTTGAGCAGGGGGGATATTTCCGCTATTCCCAGATCAAGATTTGGCAGGAGAGGAACAGTAAACAAATGACAAAAGGACAAGTTTCTCAAATAGAGGGATAAAGTAATTACACAAGGAAGGAAAAACTCATATAATGGTTTATAAGGGGATAAGTCGTGATTCTTCATTGGTACCTGATCCCATTACCCAAATGCCTTAAACCAGCCCTTCCAGGCACTGCCCCTTGAAGCCTCCTGGCAGGGGGGCTATGTGGGAGGTAGGAGGGGAGAGGGGGCTTATTTTGCTACAGCAAAAAGGGGCTTGAGTGGGGAAGACCCCCCCACTCTCCTAAGACTTCTGTCACATTTACAAATACATACATAAATACATTACATACAATAGCGAGTCTGGGAGGAAGGCTCCCCACTGAGGCTTGGCTGACACAGTTACACGTCTCAAATTCTAGGAAAAGGTACTGGGCTCCCAGAATCGGGCTCCATGTGGTATCTCCTGCCCAGGGTAAGCCCTGCCCCAGCCCACCCCTCTTCAGGGTTCAGTTTGTCCAGTATGGAGAGTTGCCGTAGGCAGGTTTGGAGGCTTGTGACTTGGGCTGCAGGGAGCTCGGCTGGCTGCGCTGACCTGAGCCACTCTGAGGAGGAGAGAAAGCTGTCAAGGCTGGAGCAGAACCCCCAACCCAGGACAGGGTGTCTGCCTCCATCATTGGCTCACCTGGGCATCCTGCGGAAGGTGGTGGTGTAACAGCTGTGAGTGAGGCTGCTGGTGGGCAGGAAGGATGTGCAAGAATGGTGGGGGTGCATAACCAGCAGCTGCTCCAGGGGCCAGGGGCCCTGAGGAACCCAAGGCCGAGGGCAGGCTGAACGGTGGAGGGGTCCCTGCATGAAATCCCTGCTTATCAAAAGTCTGCAGGGCAAAGAGACAACCATGAGGACCATCTTGGGTTGCATCCCTCACACACCCATCTCTTCCTCCCTTACCTGAGTCTTATTGTAGACAGAACCAGTCATGTCAGGGAGGCCAGTGGTGCTTGAAGACACGGACACTCCTAGGAGGAAAAGCAGGTGTTCCCACAGCAGTTGGTCCTAACTCCAGCCTCCCCATCTCCAGGGCATTCTGGGATAGCCTTGCGTGAGGAGGAGACAACTACTCTGGGCCTCAGTCCTGGAAAGGAGGGACAGACGCTACCTTTGCCAGGCCCAGAACCTGCAGACTTGCTTTGTGCCTGTGATGATCCACCATAGCCACCCTTGGTGTAGTCTCCCGCTGCTGTCCCCTGGGTCAGGTCATCATAACCTAGCATGGCAGGGGACAAGAGGCATGTGTGAGCAAGGCAAGCCTGTCCCACCCATGTCTCCGTGCTGGGAGCACCTCTCACCTGTGCTGTAGCTATGTGGGCCATAACCACTGGCCTGCTGGAAAGGTGTTGGGGGAGTGCTGAGGTTCACACCATGCTGCTTGGCTGAGGCCGGTGGAACCTGGCAGGGTGAGCAGGAGAGGCATTAGAGAAACAGGGCAGGGGAGGGAGGTCAGGTACTCCTGGGTTAGCATAAAGTAGCAGGTGACATAGTCACAAGGGACCTGTGTTAGTACAACACATGTTGGATCTAAAAACCAGCAGGAGTCCTACCCGGTTTGGCTGTGTATAGAGCACCAGCCTGCAGACTGAAGGATCCCAGGTTTGATTCTGGCCAAGGGCACATGCCCGGACTGTGGGCTTAATCCCCCAGTAAGGGGCATGCAATAGACAGCCAATCAATGGTTCCCTCATCATTGATTTTTCTATCCCTTTCCCTTCCTCTCTGAAATCAATAAAAATATTAAAAAGTAAAAAAATAGCTGGAACCGGTTTGGCTCAGTGGATAGAGCACTGGCCTGAGGAATGAAGGGTTCCGGGTTCGATTCCGGTCAAGGACATGTACCTTGGTTGGGGGCACATCCCCAGTGGAGTGTGCAGGAGGCAGCTGATCGATGTTTCTAACACTCTATCCCTCTCCCTCTCTGTAAAAGATCAATAAAATATATTTTTAAGAATAATAATAAAAAAATGGTAGGAAAGCAACCTCGCATCCAGCCCAAAACATTCCTGGAGACTCTAAGTGAAGTCATGTCCCTCACTCCCTGTAGCTGGAATTAAACCCCCACAAATACTCACAAACATGGTGGGTCCATACTGGAAGGCACTGGGCACGCCTGTGTAGTAGGGAAGGCCAGTGTAGCTATAGCCAGGTGGCAGCGCAGGATTCAGAAAGGGCTGTTGGGGGGTGTGGTGGGCCTGGGATTGGCTCTGCTGTGCTTGAGCCAGTGTGGTGGGAGGCGCAGGGGATGCAGAGTCACCTCGGCCAAACTTTGTGATATCACCTAGGAGAAAAGGATACCTGTTCTAGTCACTGCACTGAGCCGACCAGGAAAAAAGCCAGGCTGTCTCCTGCAAACAGGAATGGGTCTGGCTGCCAGCTCACCAAAGGGAAGCTAGCAGGCATCTCTTAACCCTTCTCTTTCAGACACCTGGGAATAGCTACAGGCCAGTTCTGATGCACACTCCTTTCCTCCCCATCCCCTGAACAAACTGACCTGAATATGGATTACTAGCAAGACTCCCATCTCGGCTGGCAAGGGCTGTGGGTGTAGCAAAGGGAATTCCATAATAATCCTAGGAGAGATCAGAGAGGCTCAGTAAGCGTAATGGCCACACCCCCTCCCTGGAGAGCAGGTCCAGCAGGCAGCACAGGACCTCTATGATGCCACATCCTGGGACATGGTAGACTGCAGGGATGTCACATGCACATTCACCAAATCAGTGATGCCCGTTGAAGTTGTACACAAAGCAAGCAGACACAATGACCAATCCCTCAGCTTCCCACGGGCAGAGCCATTGGAGGCCCAATCTCACATCCACTGACCCCGCAGATGGACACCGGTGAATGCCATAGGCAGAACCAGCTCTGCTGGAATTTCCTATGTGAAACTAAAGAGCAGGTGACCAGACAGCAGAAACCTAAAAAGGAGTCAGTAGGAGAGGAGGTGCCTTAAAGGGTTTAACAGGGGTCAGGGCAGCAATGCCAGGAAGGCACAAGTACAAGCAGGACCCCAGGTAAGGTGCTGAGCTTGTCTCTCACCCAGTCTCCCCGGCAACACTAACACCCCACAGGAACCAGGGGTACCAAGAAGGCAAAACACAACAGAGCTCTGGAAATGGGAGGCCTGCCTCGACCCTTCCTACCCAGCGCTGCAGGCCCAGACATCCATCACCTCTGAACCAAGGAGAGCCCTCCTGCTTTCCAGGTAGCTTCCAAGAAACCTGTAGCATCCTCAGCCCAGGATCCAAGGAGAAGGCGGGGCTGGGGTAGCACAGCGCTAGGAGGAACACAACTGGAGACAGGCCTAGAGAAAGCCCAGGAGGGGGAAAATCCAAAAGCAGGAATAAAAAAGTGCCAGAGGCTAAGGAATGACCAAAGGAAAAAATGAAAGCTGTATCTCAACATGTAGACCCAGAGGTGATTACTTCTAAGGCTCAAAATGATAAAGGGATTCATCATTTTGACGAATCAAATGATTCAAAGCAAATGACTCCCGGGACTGGGATTCCAATGAGCCACTCCTAGGGGTCCAAGCAGGACCCACGTGCAGACTCACTCAGGAACACATTTTGCATTCCATCCCTGATGCCCTGGGACTCTTGGGCAAGATTGCTGTGAGATTTCATGAGTATCAGGGGGATCAGGGCCACTTCCCGTTTCCCCAGAGAGCCCTAAGGCTCAGGCATACCCAAAGACCCTAAATTCTGTTGACCAACCTAGAAGTCGGCCATCATATTTCCAACATCCTTTCTCTGGGGATGTGGGCAACAGCAAGGAGTCTGGAGGCCCCTGGGCAGCATTGTAATGAGCTGTAGGTTTGCACAGGTGGGTTAGAATAGCCCAGCTACCAGCCTCTGGCTCTGGAAATACTTCATCAGACGGATACAAGAGTTTCAGCCACTGGGCATGAATGGCGAAAGTGACACCTGCAGGTCCCAGAGCTTTGTGTCCTGTGTGTGTGTGTGTGTGGGGGGGGGGGGGGGGGGGGAGTGATATGGTTCTCTTCAATGAGGTGTCTTTCCTCACTCTTCATCAATGGGGAGGAGTCTGAGGAAAGACACCTCATTGGGGAGAGAAAACCTCTTCCCCAGGAAATAAGAAGTACCATATCCAGTGGAGAGGATGCCAGTGTCCAAACAGATATTTACTTCTCAACCGTGTGACAGGTAGATGCCCCGCGCTGCTAAAATTATCAAGAACCTGGGAAACAGGAGTCTGAGGAAGCAGACCAAGAAAGGAGTGGTGACGCAGGAGCCTGCAGGCTGTCCCCACAGCCCTCCACTGCAGTCCTGTTCACCTGGCCATCCCAGGGAGGCCCAGTGGCTCATCCTTGGAGCAAGGCTCAGCATAAAGAGGGAGCCCTGGCTCAGAGTGAGGCTGCACCAACCAGGAAGACTCTGGGGCCAGCATTCTTGCAAAGAGCAGTGGCGCCCTTAACGTCTGTCAGCTCCAGACACTCCCTCAGCTAGGGACAGAAGAGCAAGGTGCCATCATAGGCATCACTAATGGCCACTTCAGAAGCAAAAGACACTGAATGGTTCTTTGAAGAAGATTATAAAAACTCTAGGGACAGGCAAACAACTCCATGTCTTGTGTCTTCTTCTTTTTTGTTTAAAAGGGAGTGAGGTAAAAGAAGAAAATTTGGTGGGGGCGCTGCCAACGGGGGCCCCAGGTCCCAATGGTCTTTAAGTTCTCTTCGGATGAGCAAAGGACAGCCATATGCCCCAGGTATAGTTGCACCAGCTACAACTACCAAATGCAAGCAAGTTCCTTAGTTTTAGGCTGGGTATCCTGCGGGCCAGGCAGGGTGGCAATCAAGGCAGAGAGAGGAAGAACCAGTGAAAGAGCCTCAACCCTCCCTGCCATATCCCACTCACCACTGGCAGCCGTGACTGCAGCATCTGGAGCTCATCATAGCCATAGATCTGCGTGAGGACCATACAGGGTGTTAAGGATGACACATTGTCCCCTGGAAAGCCCAGGCCCATATGGGGCCTAAACAAGATGGGAGGACAGGACACACTAAGGACGGGGACCAGGAGGAGCTGCTGGGAGAAGGCGCCTTGCCTTGATGGGAGCGCAGACTGGCCAGCAGCTCCACCAGCACTCACCGGGTAGGCAGGAAGCAGTCCTCCGGGGCCCACGAGGTACTGGTTGGGTAGCAGGGGTGGCACCCCCTGGGGCAGGTTGGGGGGTGCTTTGCCTATAAAGACAAAAATCAAATGAAGTGGCTACCTCAAAGAGTAAGATTCCTCAGCTGTCATGGGGCTGGGCGTGAAGCTTCCTGCCACAGTCCTACCCCAATTGGGGCCACAGCAGCTGAGAGGTACAGAGGGCCACAGCAGGAAGTGGAGAGAGCACGAGTCCCACAGTCAGGCTGTTTCCATACTGAGACAGAAACTCGTCCCACCACTCCTGAAGGTCATACTGCACTAGATAAACCTGAACATAAAGAACAACTGAGGCCCTAGCAAGTTCGGCTCAGTGAAGAGAGCAGCGGCTTACAGACTGAAGGGTCCCAGGTTCGAGTAGGGTCTGCAGGAGGCAGCCAATCCCAGGTTCAATTCCAGTCGAGGGCTAGATCCCCAGTAGGGGATGTGCAGGAGGCAGCCAATCAATGAGTCTCACTCATCATTGATGTTTCTTTCTTTCCCTCTCCCTTCCTCTATGAATAAAAATATATTTAAAAAAAGAACAACTGGGGGGTGGGAGGCTGGGAAAAGATGGGCAAAGAGAGAGAAAATGGTGGAAATCTGTAATAGTGTCAACAATTAAAAAAGAAAAAGAAAAGCAATGGAACAATCTACCTCCTCAGAGTGGAAGAGAGGCTGGGCATTGCCAGGAGAGGAACAGGGCGTGTCAAAAGCGGGTTTTAGCAGTTTCTACTAAACCACAGTTTGTTTGGCCCACATAGACTGCTCGGGTGTGGCTGACAGGCAATTAGTCACATAAAATGACCAGAAACAGCCAATGGTAGCAGCTCCCTGGCCTCTGTCACTATTGCCATCACAGTTCCAGGGATGAGTGAGAACACAACAGACTGGCGAGCTAGAAGCACAAAGGCTGCCAGGAATCCTGTCCAAAGGAGCCCATCCCAAAAGACCAGTTCCACCCACCTCCGCCCACACCAGCGCTGGAAGGACTGGGATTCAAGAGGTCACCGGAACAAAGAGGACAAGTGCCAATGGCAGGGCTGGAGGGAGACTCTGATCTCTGGTTTGTGTGGCTGCTCACCATGCCCCGCCAACCTCGGTGTCCTCCCTGGAATCCAGTGCTCTCTGAGGGGAGGGGGTAGGCGGGAAAGGGCTCCGGGGCACACACCTGAGGTCACCAAGGGCGTGGCTCTGGTACTGCTGCTAGGGGCACTCACGGGGGTTCCGCCCAGGCAGAGGCTGTTCGCTGTGTTCATGCTGCTCGGCAGGCTGAGTCCCGAGGACGTGGCACTCGAGGCAGAGGTTGCTGCCATTGAGAAGGTGGCAGAGGACTGGAGGGAAGGGGTGTTCTCCACACTGGTGTGCTGGCAAAATAAAAAAGCCAGGACACATAGGGTTGGGGCAAAGCACAGGAGGCAAGAGAACCTAGCCTGGCATCTGGACCTATTGTCTTGAGATCCTGACCTGAGGGGTCTGGGCTCAGTGCTTACATTGCCACACATTAGCCCCTTTGCCCTCACACTGCTAGGTTAGGCCCGTGGTCGGCAAACTCCTTAGTCAACAGAGCCAAACATCAACAGTACGATTGAAATTGCTTTTGAGAGCCAAATTTTTTAAACTTAAACTTCTTCTAATGCCACTTCTTCAAAATAGACTCGCCCAGGCCGTGCTATTTTGTGAAAGAGCCACTCTCAAGGGGCCAAAGAGCCGCATGTGGCTCGCGAGTTGGAGTTGGCCAACCATGGGGTTAGGCCATCAGAACACAACGTTTAAGCTGTGTTAAAAGACTATTAAAATTGAGCTTTATGACCAAAACACTCCTAAAAATTCTTACAGTTGCTCATTCTCTGGTATATGCCACAAGGCACAGAAACCCCAAGCTGGTATACGTGTATGTACACACATGTACATCCAGTTTTTACTGATTTTTAGAGAGGAATGAAGAGTGAGAGAAACATCAATTAGCTGCCTCCTGTAGGCCCCTAACTAGAATCAAGCCGGCAACTGAGATCTATGTGCCCTATCTGGGAATCAAACCAGCAACCTTTTAGTGAGCCACATCAGCAAGGGCCCAAGTAAATTTTAAATGAACACAGACATCTCCGTATACGATGAGAACCCACCTCACAGAAAAGCAAGTAGTCTCAGGAGAGCTGAGAGGCGGCCACGGGCAGCCCGGCCCAAGTCAGAGCGTTCTGGGATGTCCTTCTATTAGGCTTCCTAGCTACTCTGACCTGGAAGTCACGGTGGCCAGGAGAGGCCTCTGCTCCAGAACGTGGTGAACACTTTGCAGAAGCAAGAGTCCTGGGGAGTCCCCCACCAGGGCCTACCTAGAAGGACAAAACCCAGAAGAAAGCTCTGAAGAGCCGGAGTTGCAGGAAGCCAGCCTGGCGCTCCACTGCTGCTATTATTAAGGTAGAAGAGATGCACTTGGCTGGGCGAAGTATGACCAAAGCGGGAGGGAAAGGCTCTGCAGACCGAGACCAGCCTCCAAACCAGAATGTGTATAGAACAGAGAAGCCTGAAAACTCCGGAAGGAGGAGCCAGAGAACAGGAAGCCCCAGGAGAAATGGGGCCGCCATGTGCTCCCATGTGCTCTGCTTTCCCGCACCCGGACAACTCTCTGGTCCCAGCCCACAGGCTGCCCTGGCCACCGGAGCACTAGCCTCAGGGCCCTGATGTCTAGAATGGGTTCTGCAAGGGAAAGACAGCTACAATCATCGTCTCCTCAGACTCCCCAGGACTCCTGCTCTTTCAGCCCAGACACACAGAATCAGGGAGAGCCAGGGCACACGGTGCAGGCTGCGCCAATCCGCCCAGCCAGACCGCTCCACGCTCCTCTGCATGGGTCCAGGCTTCCCACTAAGAGCAACTTTCTAGAGAACTGGTTCCTGGTTTGCTGAAAGGAACTCAAGCATCCAGGAAGCCTCTCCTACGTCCAGCTGACCCTAACAGGGCTTCTATCTTGGACTCCCACCTCCCACACCCATGAAGGCGATGAACTGCTGGAATAAGGGGCCTCTGCCCCATTTTAAGGGCTGGACAGTCAGGATGGGTGAAGAGCACAGCTGTATCAAATCTCCCACAAGGATGAAGGGGAGGAGAAAACACTAAGATTTCCTTCATAACCTTCAAGTGGGAAAGATCTCTCTATAATAGACTATAAAAGAGGGCTTGATATATCTGACTATATAAAAATAAAATTTTTTTAGCATTTGGCATTTTGCATAAAATGATAATGCCTAGCTACTCCACACTAGGATTTACCCTCTACTACTGCTGCAGGACGAAACAACATTGGCAGAACGTTATCAAATGAAGCATCAAGCTTAACGTTCTATCAGTGGAGGGCTGATCACATACAATGATGCAGGAGAGTATTGAAAAAACACACAAAACATCGAAGACCTCTGCTTCAGCACAGAAACAATTTAAAAATGCACTTATTAAGAAGGGCACTATGTATGAAATATCCTATTTGTGTTGTAGAAGAGAAAGAAAAATGACTGCGTGTATGCATTTACTATTTTATGGGTTAAAAAGAACTCTAGAGGAACAAGCAAACAGGAGGAAGAGGGACAGAGCCTTAAGCCAATAAAAGGAAAACTTTCAGTATATGCCTTTTTATAGCTTTCACTGATAAATCTTACAGCTATATTACAATGTGGCAATTCCGCCACATTGACAAAATGTGGGACTCCCTGGCCACAAACATTTAGATGGCATGATTTGGAGTTTCCTGACAAGACACCAAGTGCTGCTGACCTGTGCGAGCAGGAACACTGACTCGAACGCCCCAGTGCCCGAAACAGAAGCCACTAGACAGTGGGCAGCTCACGGCTCTCGCTGACCAACATGGGACACATGCAGGTGGGCAGAAGTACCCACCCTGTGCTCTGGTATGAAGATGGTGCTCTGTGTGTTCCATGACAAAGAATCATGCCTAACATTCACTTGGAAAACTACAGTTTGAAAGCCTCACTGTTTGCCAGATCATAATGGAAAAATAGAACTGATCCTATTCCATCACCTCATTCGGCAGCAAATGACTTGATCTCTTCTTTAAAGGAAACAAATTTTCCCAATTTCCAGACTCCCACATTTATCTGTACCCAAAGCTTCCCTCCCTTCTTGGGGCCCCACCCACTCCAACCTTACCAGAAGCCTCCTAGCTCCCCGGAGAGAGACATTTTGTTCTTTTTTCAGGCACCTGTCTTTTCTCAAATAGCTATGCTCAAGTCTCTTAGTATTAGGTCACTGCCCTGACTCCTTGCCATTTCACAACTCATGCCTCCACCCATCACAATCTAGACTGACCCCTACCACTAAAACCTCCCAACTTCACCTGGAGAAGCCACACTTCAATAACCATCACCTAGGTCACTCACTCCTGACTTCGTTCTGCAATATCAACCTTACCAAAGTCTCTGCCTCTGAGTTGGGGGAAATGGTCTGAGCGCAGAGCTAACAGTGAACAGAATACCTAATGCCAGAATTAGCAAAGTCCCCGTGATCACCACCAATTTGGAACAGAGCTACATCGACTGGGGTACAGCCAGGGCTGCCAGTCTCAAACAGCTATATGTGTGCACGTAAAGGATGGATATTCTCACATGAGCTCTCCCTTTCACCTAAAAGCATTTTCTCCCGGAGCCTTCACAAAGTAGCAGAGGGCTACCCAGGGAAAATGGTCTGCATTAACGTTGACTTTTAGGAGAGCCCAAGTTGAAGCTAACAATGGGCCCACTTTCCTCTAAAAGCTTGCAAATGCCTCAACTTAACATTTCCCAGAAAATAAATCACCCCTGCTAGGCAGAAAGGTCTCCTATAATAAACAGGAAGCACAATGAACCGCTGGGAGTAAATTCACCACCTGACACCACTGGCTCATCACGTAACAGGTCTAGAGAAGCAAGTTCTCCAGAGGCATGAACTTGGAAAGCATGGTGCCCAGGAAATCAACAGCTCAAACCACAAACTTAGAGCAAGACATTAGAGCCAAAGAATTCAAGATTCTCTCACAGGTTTAGCATCCACAAACCAAAGGCCCGCCGGGGTGACTAAGCTCCGAGCGGAGAGGGCGGTGGACGGGGAGCCCAGGGACACTTACTGTGTGAGACGTGCTGGAGGAGAGTGCTGTGTGCGCGGAGGAGAGGCTGCTCTGGTGGGTGGAGAGTGAACTAGAAGACAAAACAGAGCACCACGTATGTCCACCCAACCACGTCACTCCACAGGCACGGAGCCCGTGTCGGGTGGGCGGGGTATAAGCTCACCCATTCCCTTCAGGAGAAGCCCCAGCTTCGCGCCCATCGCCTGGGAACCCAGGCCAGGTGTGCTGGTGGTTAGAATGGCTAAAGGGTCACCCAACCTGAGGATCTGGAACATCCTGGCCTGGGAAACCTCCAGGGCCAGTTCAGTCAGCTCTACCCTCTGTCCTTTAGACTGGAAAAAGAACAGGATTTCACTGAGAACACTGTCAGCCTTGAAGACCTCATTAAATCTGTGTGTGAGGGGGAAAGGTTCCTATATTCAATCCACATGCCAGAATCAGAGCCTGAAATACCATCAAATCCAGAATTCAAGTCAAATGCTTTTGCTCCTGGCTTAAAGGGGAAAGAGGTGAATTCACCTTAGAAGACACAGGGTGGGAGCCCAATGAAACCCATCTCCTACACCCGCTGTAATAACTTCACTGATAAAGCCATGACAAGCATTAAGTCAGAGATGTGCTCAGAAATCCAACAGCAATCTCACTCTGCGTCAGTGACAGGAGCCCAGAGCGGGAGGAGGCTTATCTAGTGGCACCTCCTGAGGGTGTAATAAGAGAAGCAGCAACCCCTTGGGCCAACCCCATTCCCAGGGGCCCAGTGCTCTCTGTGACAGCACTGGCATTACAAACAAGCAAGTTTACATCTGTGGTGCTTTGATGACACTACCCAGTCCAAACCTATCTATAGCATTATTGCAAAGGGCCAGGGCATGGTGCTAGGGGCAACGCGTGGTGGTGTTCATTGGAAGAGCCTTCTAGAAAGGCTACAGGACTTCGCCCCACTGTGGGCCTCTCTTTCTGAGCCCAAATTTTCCCCATACCTGTTAAGCTGAGAGAGGGGGGTGCTGGACAGGTCACCAGGCTGGGACAAGGAAGGCAAAGTGGCAGTGTGCTGAGATGCAGAGGGTAGAAGCGTACTGCAGGAGGTGGTGCTGGGCAGGGAGGCCACAGATGGTAGGGCCGAGGGAGGATCTGTTGTCTTTGGAGCAGGAACAGACGCAGTAGCTGTAAGAAAAAGATCTGTTTAAATCCAGATCAAACCATGAATATCTGAAATATGCTCAATATCTTGAGACATGTCAGGAGCAGTTGAGACATACATAAAGTTACATTTCCCATGGGAAATGCCCCAGCATGTCCCCAATTGGTCTCTTTTCTGTCAGATACGATTATTAAAAGGACACACAATGGTCAGACGCACAGGACCCAGACAGAGTAGGAAATGACATAATCACAGTAATTTATAATCATAAATGTCCTGTGATGTGGACATACATCTCTCAACTAAAGGAAGCAGGTCAACCCTAAGCCACACTCAGAAAGAAGATCTGAGGCTGAAACAATTATAAAGTAACACAAAATTTCCTTAAAAAGCACAACTTGGGGACAGTGAAAATCTAGTGGGCAAGACTACCCAACAGGTAGGTCTTTGCTTCTATCAAATCAGCACCAAATCAGGCTGACCTTGTGAAAGTTCAGAGCCAATTTAGGGCTGGTGGGGCTTGAGAGCCCACGGTGCATATGCTGTGGAGTTACACATGCCTCACATCCACAGGAAAGCACACAGCTGCTGCTGAACGCTTACTTTGGCACAGGGAGCACAGCATTTCCTTCACATGTGCTTGGAGAGAGTAACCTCAGAGCACATTATGCTTTCAGGAGACCATGAGTGCTATCAATCCTCACTGCAGAAAAGACTCAGTGTTAGTGTCATCCACACATATGACTCAGATATGTGCTTGGAAATAAAGCATCATTGTCTTTTCCAGATAGGAAGAAGCAAACAGTACCCTCCTGCAGCATTCCCTGGGAGCGCAGCAGAAAACACATTAGTCTCCAAAAGGGAGGATGATTAGAAAACAAGCACAGGCAGCCACAGGCTCAAAACACAATGTAATAAATTCTTACAATAGCCTTTCCTTTCCTGAGGCTTGCTTTTTACCAACAGTCTATTCCAAATATACCTGTTCTCACAGACATCAAATGAAGACACCACAATGTCCCTGACCTAAAACTCACACCTCCCTGGGTCTTAGAACACACTGATAAGAGGTCCACCAAAAGCTTCTGGGGGGGAGAAGGGTGGAAGAGAGAGAGAGATACTGTGTGTGTGTGTGTGTGTGTATGTGTCAGAGAGAATGGGTGGAGAAGAGAGAACGGGAGGTAAAAACCTATCTAAAATGCAAACTACATTTTTCAAGCATCTTACATCTCATTTTAAATCTCCAAATAATCTAGTGCACCTCTATGTGTTCTCAACCCCATGTCTGGACTATAAAAACTTGCCAGCAGGGCTTGTGAAATGAGAACTTCCTCTGACAGCCAGTGTTCTCAGAGCTACCAACGCCATCTCCAAACAGCTCTGGCAGCCCAGTGATACCAAAATCCTAGGTAACTCATATGTCCTTTAAATTCTGGCTAAAGTCCAGTCCAGCTCTGGTACAACTGCATGTCCATGTCCCAAAAAATTGTAAATAAAAGAATCTTTGGGTTTCCATACTCAATACCCACTTGCCTTACTGAATGCACACAAACACCACCATAAACAATCACAGATAGGCTAGCCAAGAACAAAATTCACCTGTGTCATCTCCATTGATCACTGAGCTGTACTGAAACTGGGGGACAGGACAGGGGAATCCCTTCATTTTCTCCAAAGCGTTTCCAGTGAGCAACATTTTATCTCTCTTCCTAGCAATAGTCTGTCAGAACCTGTAGGCAATGAACACGTATTTCCTGAACTAGCACACCAATTTTTGTTTTAAAAGTTCTTTACAGCCGAAGCCGGTTTGGCTCAGTGGTAGAGCGTCGGTCTGCGGACTGAAAGGTCCCAGGTTCGATTCTGGTCAGGGGCATGTATGTTGGTTGCGGGCACATCCCCGGTGGGGGGTGTGCAGGAGGCGGCTGGTTGATGTTTCTCTCTCATTGACGTTTCTAGCTCTCTCTCTCTCTCCCTTCCTCTCTGTAAAAAATCAATAAAATATATTTTAAAAAAAATAAAATAAAAGTTCTTTACATTATCAGAGTGGGAGCCCTTTGACCATTAGAACCTGTACCTTTGAGCAAAGAATCTTTTTTTTTTTTTTAATATATTTTATTGATTTTTTACAGAGAGGAAGGGAGAGAGATAGAGAGCTAGAAACGTCGATGAGAGAGAAACATCAACCAGCTGCCTCTTGCACACCCCCCACCGGGGATGTGCCCGCAACCAACATACATGCCCTTGACCGGAATCGAACCTGGGACCTTTCAGTCCCCAGACCGATGCTCTACCGCTGAGCCAAACCGGTTTTGGCAAGCAAAGCATCTTTTAAATCAATACAATACTGTCCTGCCTTAGTGCAGTCTGACTAAGGCAGAACAATATGAGGCTATTACCCAATTTGTAATAATACACCAGCTACAACCTGGTTACATGGGACTCTCTAGCTGAACCTAAGGAAGGGGTGCCAGCAATGGATCAGAAGTAGCTATCAGCAAACATTTTAAAGAATTAGCCATTAACCTACTGCATTCCCTATCAAGTTAGCGATGCTCTTATTTTGTTTGGTTTCCAACTATGCAAAAAAAAAAAAAATGTTCACAGAACACTTACTGTCTACTGTCTGCTGACTTCGACCACCACCGTGTCCATTCTATAAGGAAGAGAAAATAAGTAAACCCACAAAAATAAAAACTTAAGATGATTTTCTATTGGGATTTAGCCACAAACACTTGAAACATAATCAAGGAATGGCAGCCCGTTTTGTTTTGTTTGTTTTCTTTTCATAACATTGAGGGGCAATATGACAGACTTTTTTTTTTTTTTCTCTCAATGTTTTTATTTTTAGAGAGGGAATGAGAGAGGGGGAGAGAGAAATATCAAAGTGAAAGAGAACCATCGTTTGGTTGCCCCCCGCGTGCACCATGACGGGGGTGTAGCTTTCTCTTCCCACTAGGCCTTTATGACAATGACAGAAAGACATAGGCCTACAGGGAATAGGGAAGAGACTAGAACAGCCCCTTGTGAATCTAAAGAAGCTCAACAGAAAAGGTTCAAAGGGGCTGAGGAAGGAGTAAAAAAAATATATTTAAAAAAATAGCCCACTCATGCAGTTCCACATCAAAGCCCATACTCAGCCACCTATAACCCCCACTCCAAGTCAGAGCCCTTAGTTAACCTTTTAGTGTCAGGTAGGCAGCCTGGAGTCACCAGACATTTGAGTAAAACACCTAATATAAAATATGTAAAACAAAATAAGGGAAGTAAAAATAACAACAAAAAATTTTAAGTAGAGATATACAAATAGTTCCTGCTTAGAAGACTTAGAAAATGTATCCAAATTTTGCTAGATCAATTCAACTATATTTTAATATTTTTATTTTGTCATCCATCTTTTAAAAAAGTATATTTTTAAAAAATATATATTTTATTGATTTTTCACAGAGAGGAAGAGAGAGGAATAGAGAAGTAGAAACATCGATGAGAGAGAATCATCGATCGGCCGCCTCCTGCACACCCCCAACCGGGGATGTGCCCGCAACCAAGGTACATGCCCCTAACTGGAATTGAACCCAGGACCCTTCACTCTGCAGGCTGACGCTCTATCCACTGAGCCAAACTGGTTTCAGCTAAAAATATTTTTATTGATTTCAGAGAGGAAGGGAGAGGAAGAGAGAGAGAAACATCAATGATGAGAGAGAAACCAGGAATATGCCGTGATCAGGAATCGAATGGTGACCTCCTGGTTCATAGGCCTGCGCTCAAACACTGAGCCTAACCAGCCGGGCTATAATCCAGTTATTAAAGAGTTCTCACCAATAATGCCTGAACATTTTTGCCTTATAGGAAATGAAAATATTAGATAGGATTATAGTTCCCCTCTTAGCCCATCCAAACCACTAAGAGTAATTTGGGGTGTGTCCCTATATTATCCTTATACTAAGCTTCTGGGTCCATTTACACACATTCCTGTTTTTATGGTGCTTGAAATGCACGTTTTAAATGAGATGCCGTTAGCAAATTCAACAAACTACAAGGATTCTACTCAAAAGGTTAGTAAATCGTAAAAGAAAGTCTCAATCAAAAAGCTTAATTTCCCACCAGGTGGCTCAGTTCGTGTCATCAACATACCAAAAAATATGGCTTCAATTCCAAGTCAGGGCACATACTTGGGTTTGGGATTCAATCCCCAGGTGGGGCACCTGTGGTCAGAGAGCATACGAGAGGCAACCGACTGACATTTATTTCTCTTTTTCTCTCCCCCAACTCCCTCCCTCCCTCTCCATCTTTAAAAAAATAATCAATGAACATATCCTCAGCTCTAGCTGGTTTGGTTCAGTGGACAGAGCATCGGCCTGCAGACTGAAGGATCTCGGGTTCAATTCCAGTCAGCGGCCCATAATCTTGGTTGCAGGCGTGGCCCTGGTCAGAGCTTGTACAGGAGGTAACCAATCGATGTGTTCTCTCACATTGATCTCTCTCTCTGTCTTTTCCTATCTCTTCCCCTCTAAAAATCTATGGAAAAACATCCTCAGGTGAGAATTACAAAATATTAAAAAATAAAATAAAATCAACATATCCTCATGGGAGAGGGGGGAAAAAAAAAAAAGGGGGGGGGGAAGGCTCAAACTACACACTAAGCTCCAAAACAGGAAGGACCCGAAAGACCACTTACCGTGACAGTTCCTGGGACTGACTCAGACGGACTCACAGAGCTTTGGTATGCAACCCTGCTATGCACAGAACTCTGGTCATAGGAAGAAGACGTTGTTGCTGGACTAGTGGAGCTCAGGGATGAGCTGGTCAGACTGGAGGAGGTAATGACTGAAGTTGTATAGGTGGAGTTCTGTACTGCACTGGTCATTGGTAGAGAGGTATTCAAAGAATCACTACAAATGGTATTAGACATACATTTGTGTCAATTTACATAGCTTCATGAAGGAGAACTATTTCATCATACTCTAAATTAAATAAACATGTCTGCAACCACAAGTTTATACTACTGCATTCTTCAATTTAGTAACAATGCAGTGAAGATTCAAAACAATCCCCCAAGTCTAGCACCATCCCCATAAAAAGCTAGGCCCACCTAACTTAATTGACAGGCAAAGGGACAGCTTTAAGAATCTTTACGGAATCTAGATGTCTGAGACCATCTTTAGAAAAGGAACCCATGCAAATATCAGGTTGGGGCTCTGGAAAGTGGAAAAATTAACTAATAAAATAAAATATAAAATCTGGCCTTCTCTATTTATAAAATATTCCACTGAATGAAAGTGTTGGCAAGATGTGAAGAAACTGAATCTCCCACAGGTTACTCATAGAAATGTAAAATGCTGCAGCCACTGCAGAAAATGTTTGATGCTTCCTCAATTGGTTAAATATAAGTTCCCATATAACGAAGCAATTCCTAGGTATACAACCGCAGAATCAAAAGCACACAAAATACATAACTAAATGTTCACAGCTGCATGGTTCATAATAGTCAAAAAGTGGGAACAATCCACACGTCCATCACCTCATAATGGATGAACAAAATGTGGTATATCGGCACAATAAAATATTATTTGGAAATAAAAGGCATTTATGCTTCAGCAAAGATGAACCTGGACAACACTATGCTAAGTGAAAGTCAGTCACAAGTGACCACAAATTTCATGATTCTAATTATATGAAACGTCCAGAATAGGCAAATCCAGAGACTGATTATTGGTTGCCAGGTATGAGGGGAAGGGGAAATTGGAAGTGACTGCAACTAGGCACAGGGTTTCTTTTTAAGGCGATGCAAGAAAAGTTCTGGGTTAGATACTAGTCAGGGCTGCACAAATCCACTACCACAGAGTGTACTGTCTGCCTCCACAGGTGATTTCTTGGGCTCTCTTTTGTTTTACCTTGCAAACAAAAGACTTACTCCAGTCAAAACCAGAGAAGTGGGATTGTGTACCTTAAAGACTTTGAATACAAGCTGATGGGACTCTGATTACTATTTTCACTGCTTGCAGCAGATCCAAATTCAGAGAGCGAAGATTCTGATCCAAATTCCAAGGCGCCAAACTGAACATTTAATCCTGTGACATCTGCTGAACCAGGCATTTCCACTGCAGAAGCTGGGATCTGAAAAGGCAAAGCTGCCATGTCGGGAACAGAAGTCATGGAGTCTAAGTCTCAAGGGTCTATACCAGAGCCAAATGGACACTGGGTTCCCAGGGCATGGCTGGCAGGCCTGAGGAACAAGGCATGAACAGCCAAAAGAAAAAAAAGGGACAGAAGGGACAAGAGCAAAGAAAAATTAAAAGTTAACAGGACAATGGTTATTGCTACCAACTGCTTCCTTAGTAAGGGGCGAGGGTTGGGTGAGTAAAAGAGCAGAATGCCTTAAAGCATTACCTGGTAAAAGACCCACTCATCCTCCACTGCGGGGAGCACAACTAAGCACACAAGACCATCAGTTTCTTTGAGTCAGATCTAGTAATTTGAATTAATATTCTCTCTCAGTACAAACTCATTCCCTCTAACATTAGCCATTTCCTCATAAAGGAGTAAGCTATGTGCTTGAGAAGCACTACACTCAAGTTTCTGGGACTTGCTAATCCAACACTTAAGCTAAATGTTAAAATACATCCACCTTGGGACTGCAGCTTCACATGGAATACCCACCTTAGAAGCTGGAGGTATCCGCCGCTTAGGGAGTTTGATGTGTTTAGGCTGTGGTTGGTGGGCAGACACAGAGATATTTTCGACAGTGAGGCTGGGGAGCTGCAAGAGTTTGTTCACAGTGGAGGTGCCGTCTCTGGGTGCTGATTCTCGGAGTTTTACCTGGGAAGGAAAGGACTCCAACCCAGGAGGAGGGACAGAGATTGCCTGAGACTGGTGCTGCTGTCGCTGGCTCAACTGGCTAAGAACTGGGGATGGTTCAGGCTGAGATTTAAAGTCTAGAAGATAGGTAAAGAAGGGGTGAAAGCAAAATTATTTTGGCACACGAGATTAGAATTCCCTCTTCTACCATCACTGGCTTGCAAGATTGGCTCTTGGCTAGTGTCTGAAGAACAGAATGCCAACACTCTAACCAACAAATGTGACTCTGTGCTTTGAATATCTGTACAATGTAGTTTACACTGAACCATTTGCTTTCCTTCTAGAAATCTGGAAGATTGGTGTGTACTAGGCAGAGGGTGCCTATATAACCAGCCCCCATCCCTTGATAAAAACCCTGGGCATTGAATTTCTTAACGATTTTCTTTCATAGCTATCACTCCAAACCTGGGAATAATCTCAGGTACTCAGGAAGTGTTTCCATGTCTCTCAATGCCCTAAGCATAAACCAATCCACACAACCAACCCTTTAAAGTAACTCCCTGCTGTTCCTTAATACAGTATGGTATGTGTAGATGGGAAATGGTAGCGTAATGTCACAAAACTATGGGAGTAGAATTTAGAAAAGCTTCAATTTACAAGCGATACCTTGAATAATAAACCACAGATGGGAAGGCTGAACCAAATCATGACGGATACATGCAAATGTTAAAATCAGAAAGCAACCCATGCCAAAAACGGTTTGGCTCAATGGATAGAGCATCGGCCTACAGACTGAAAGGTCCCAGGTTCGATTCCGGTCAAGGGCATGTACCGTGTTTGTGGGCACATCTCCATAGGGGGTGTGCAGGAGGCAGCTGATCAATGATTCTCTCTCGTTGATGTTTCTAAATCTCTATCCCTCTCTCTTCCTCTCTGTAAAAAGTCAATAAAGAAATATATATATATATATATATATATATATATATATATATATATATATAAAAGAAAGCAACCCAGAGGGTTTGATAAGTTGTTTTCTTATATTTACATGTCTTTACCATGCTTTTGTACATCTCTTCAAGGTATGTACTACTACAAATAACAACAAATAGTGCTCACTTCAGCAGCACATATACTAATAACGACAAATAAATGCAGGAATTTATTTATACGATACAAAGCTGAATGATTTAATTCAGAAATTTTGCCAAGTTCAACTAAAAAAAAAAGATTTCTGGGCACTGGCCAGGTAGCTCAATTGGATAGAGCTCAACCCCATACACCAAGGTTGAGGGTTTGATCACATACAGGAATCAAAACCAATGAATGCATAAATAAGTGAAACAACAACTGATGTCTCTCTTTCTCAAATAAATCAATTAAAAAAAAATTTTTTTTAAAGAAAGAAACATCTCTGGTCAAAACCCACAGTAGTGTTCACAAGTCAACAGCCTCCTCTAATGTTCAGGGGTGAAGCAACCACAGAAAATGTATACTTACCAAAATGGCTACGGACTGAGGACTGGGTAGCTGAGGACTTGAGGTCCCAAGAAGAAGTGGTTGTGGGGGCACTTGTACTATTCTGCTGCAAACTTGGTGTGGTAGTAAACTGGCCCAAACTTGGAGGTTTCAACTGGTCCAAAATCTGGGAGCTGGTGGTGTTTGCCATTTTTGAAGGTGCAAGCTCTCCAAATCCTGAACCAAGGACGGATGACTTTAAAGAGAAAGAAAGCAGAAATCCTAAACAATACAGAATATCTACCCCAGCCTTTACAACAGGCCAAGTATTTTCACAAGGATTTTTAAAACTATAATCCAGAATTAGCAAGACTCATATGATTACACTACATGAAAATATTAGTATGTAACAAGATCTGACTAAATAAATGCAGCAATTCTTCCTGATTCTGGTACAAGATGTTAAAAGACAGGGAAATATATTCCCTGGATTTTAAGAAATTGATTTTAAAAAGTGATGTCACAAATTAACAAACACAATACCTTTTTTTTTTTTTTTAAACTAAGGAGAAATGCCATGAATTAAATGACAAGCACAAGCTTAAACAAAAACACAGTTTTTCTTAATGTGTGGAGCACTAATTATCTTTAATGATTAGAATAGGTCTGGTCAAAAAGGACAAGCCATGAGATCTACAAGATTAAATGCAGATCACAGCATTTACTTAATTAAAATGTTAGTATTCCAAAATAAGACACAGGAGGTATTGAGTAATAACCTGGACACTGGTAAGTTTATTTCAAGTTGTTTAGATGACTAGGAACACTAACTATGTCCAACAAGCAAGCATACAAAAGACAATATACTCCTCCCCTATCTTCCTGTCAGGCCAGGTATCAAGATCTTAGGAAAATGAAAATTTAATGACTAGAGAACATAATGTCAGATCAACTGCATTTTTACATTATCGAAATCATTCAGTTTCTGAAAAGACAAGTTCTTCGTCAAAAGTAACTTTCAAAAACCACCTAAAAGGTCAAAAACAGAATCTGCATTCTTTCAAGAGGCCAGATCTAGAAAGTTGAAATAAAATTATTTCTGTTACCAATATCCAAAGGCCCAGAGTATCCTAGTTGTTCTAAGGAACAGTTGTGCTAACATTACTTATTACTACTCCAGATTCTTAGCTTATGCTGCCCATTACATATCCCTTTCATTGCTACTAGTCTGCCAAAACCCAGCTCAAGCCCACTTGTTCAATGAAGGCCTCTTTGAATGATGCTTCTACTCTTCATCTTTTCCCTACCTAATCTCTATTCTACATCAGCTAATTTTTATCAAATGCACTTTGTGTGCTTTACAACAAATCACTGCATCAATAACTACAGCTACCAAAGGATTTCTCAACTCCACCTATACATTTTAATCAACTTTAAAACTCTGTTGGTTTTGTGTGGACTCTGACATTATTTTATTATGCTCACTATTACTGTCGTTATTTACTGATGTTCCCCATTGATTATAAAAGTACAGTAGGTTTGAGAACCACTGCTCTAATACATTACAAAAAAATTCTTACCAGTTTCTCAAGGTGTTTTTCATGACAAAAAACTATAGGTCACTAAAAAACAACAACACTCATGTCCTACCCATGCTCTCAGTGGCCTACGACTCCAGGAAGTCAACAAGGGCATGACATCAATATGCCAGAAGCAGATGGAAAGGCAAAGGAGGAAAGGACATGATGGTTCAATAAAAAAATGAATGGTAGGTACCATCAGGCCTTCTCAAAACAAAGAGAGCACTATGGCTTAGGCTGTCCCACTTCAAGCACTGATGCCCTTTCATGCACAATCATCCATGACAGTAAAAATATAAAATATGCCCCAAGCCAGATATACTTGACATGAGATGACTATGCAGAATAGAAGATTGCAATAAAAAGTTTCCGTACTCACTTCTACATTTTATTAGGGTATAGCAAATGATTTTGAGTCAAGTAAGAGGAAGAGATTATATCATAAGAAATTCTGTTTTTCAACTGTAAATTTCAAGTGAAATATAGTAAAAATGAACCAAAATAATTATTAGTGAAAGCTGAGATCTATGTTTATGGTCCTTCAACCTCCCCTCTGCCACCTCACAATTACCTATGGTTAGACAGAGACTTCACTCTCCCAGGCTGCGGCTACATTCTTGTACATCCTATGCTCTGAGCCAACGGTCATCAACGGGTGGTCGGCAGACCACTGGTGGTCTGTGCGTTGCCCCAACCTTCTCTACTTGCATCAGCCTATCTCCACATCCTTCACTAACAATCCCTTGAGTTCTTTCTGATAGGAGCTTAATTCTCATGGGAGGTCAGAATCATATATGCAGAAGATGACACTGTTTCAGTGAAAGCACTCTCAAATTATAAGGGTCTCTACTACATAGTGCAGCCTTTTAAGAAAAAGTACACCACGTTTATGGTATAGTAAAACAAAAATTAAAAAATATATATAAGTTCCTAGGCAGACTTGGACAGAACTGTGTTCACATAATTTCAGTAAGCAGATACCGGCAAACATTTGCATTTAAGAAAATTGGAAAACGACAATTTTAACAGTTTAAGTCTAGAAATAGACTTTGAAACAAAATCCAAGAAAAATCATTAATAAGGATGCCTGAGTGAATATGACGAAAAAGATTTTCACTTCAAAAAAAAAAGAGGAATTTTTATCTTTGCCCAGAAAACTCAGAGTAGTTGAATTCCACATGGAAGCATCAGATATGTGCTTGGAAACGAACACATCATTGTTTTCCGGACAGAAATTTACTGCATAACTTTCTATATTTAGAAAGCAGTTATAAGGCATGTGTCATTCTAGCACAAGTATTCCTTAAGATCCCAGACTGAAATAAAAGTGAGTTACCAGACTCTGAGGAGAATAGGAGTTAGCAGTGGAGCTGCCAGTCCCTGGTGCCATCTGATTGCTGTGCTGAGAATTTGTGAAGACGAGGGCCTGGCCAAAGCCCTGCTGTTGGGAAGTTTCAAAGGAGCTGACTTCTGAGGCTTGATTGGGAGGAGCAGGCTTCTGGAGCAAGGCTACCAGATCGACGCTAAGCAGACAAAAAGCAAAAGAGCACAAGTCATAAATCTTACCAGCAAATGAATTTGATAAGTGAATCAGTATAAAGTAAATTCATGCCAAAAATTACTCAAGTAAGAAAAACCCTAAAGCCACAGAGACTGAAGCAGGGCTTTGCAGAGAAGAAAAACGAAAAGGTGCATTGAGATTATTTCCACAGAAATGCAACAGTGACAACTTATTTGAAAATGAGCAAACTGGAAGAATTTTCTAAAGTTTGGCTCGTTTCCTTTAGGATATCTTGCTCCTTTTATTACTTGGAAAGTGAGTTCACATTTTGGGGGAATGAGGAACATAGCTATAGTAGCCTAGTTAAGCAGTTTCATATTTATCATAAATGTTCCTGTAAGTTTTGCATTCTTTCCAATAATACATTTAATTTGTATAAATCTCATATAATTTCTCTCTTAAATATTTAAGAAAGAATGCACAATATGTTCACAAATACTCTGTTTACTACAACTCTTGTGATGGCCCCAGAAAGACATATATCCAATTTGAAAACTATGGCCTACAAACCTGAAAGCATGAGGAAGAAATTACCTTCCAGATACACACACTACCACCTTACATGTGAGCAACTAACTCTCTTCCACAGGACCTGTAAGGTACACGGAATTACCTATCATAATTTGCTCCATTAAACCCTTTCCAAGGCCAGTTGCCAGTCAGTTCTTCTGACACTTTCACCATGCCAGTGAAACAGATTTTGGGAGGTTAAATAATTCAAGACTCAGCGCTAACACAAAACAGAGTTCTTGGGCCAGAGTTTCTCTACCTATGCACTATCTCGCAGACTTCCCAATAACCAGGTTGAAGTCGCAGACTAGCATTTTGGATTCCAACATAATGTTCTAGCTTATGGAATACGTCAAGGATAGAAACTCAGGGTAATTATATTACATATGACCCATCCACCAAAAAAAGGTTGTATTATTATAAAAAAAAGAGAGCAAGTTCTATTCCAAGAGATTGATGAAATATATGCATGAAAAATACAGCACTGCTCTGACTGGTATGTTCAATGGTTAGTGCCATCCACCTAACCCCCAACCCCATCCCTACACCAAAAGGTCAAGGGGTCAATTCCTGGTCAAGTGCATATATCTGGGTTGCAGGTTTACTTCCCAGCCCAGCTGGAATAATCAATGTGTCTCTCCCACATCCATGTTTCTTTTTCTAATTTCCACACATAACCCATCCCTCCCTTCCACTCTGAAAAGCAATGAAAAAAATAACCTTGCACTAGCAGGTTTGGCTCAGTGGTGCATGTGGGAGGCAACCAATTGATGACACTCTCTCTCAAGTATAGTTTTCTCTCTCAGTCTCTCCTCTTTACATTCACTCTCTCTAAAAATCGATAGAAAAAATATCATCAGGTGAAGGGTAACAAAACAAAACAAACGACAACACTATCTTCTGAAAAATAAGCATGAAAGAGTCCACTTCATATTTTTTAAAAGATGAAAATTATCCTATAAAATTCATTGTGCAATAAATACAATAAAGATGTACACTTAAGAAATTCTGAGCAATTCACAAAGCATTATATTGCTAGACATAACCTTTAATCATCTTTATTTCCCTGCAAAAGTGTTATAACCATCTCATTTAGCACAAGACTAAGCATCTTAAGATTAAAATTGCCTTTAATTCTCAGATATCATATATATCAAGGCCTTCATTCTTCTAGATCACTGCATTTTCAAACTATAATTTAAAAAAATTTAGAGCTATTTATTGTGAAAACTAGGATGTATATAAATGGTTTTCAATAATTCAATTCTGTACACATACTAACAACATTTCTATTACCTCAAAGTTCCTTCCTTTTCTGTAATCTCCAGACTATTGGATTAATACTAGTAGAGCCCTCCTTAGTCGGTTCCTCAGTGGTTAGAGGTAGGCCAGGGACGGAAGGGTGGCAGGTTCAATTGTATCTAGTTAAGGGCACATACCTTGGTTGCAGGCTCAATCCCTGCCCCGAGTTGAGGCATGTATGGGAGGCAACCAATCAATATGTCTCTCTCACATTGATGTTTCTCACTCTCTCTGTCTCTCCCCCTCCTTCCACTCTCTCTGAAAAAAATATCTCGAGTGAGGATTAACAAAAAACATAAAAACTAGAACTCATAAAAAACGAGACTGAGATCTAAATAAATGATATTATACAATATGAAGAAACCAAAGGATATTTTGTATTAAGTTCATCTGTCAAAACACGTTTACAAAAGTAAAGAACAATCATTACATAGGTTTAACATAATCTGTCACAAATGATAACAAATCACTAACATAACTGCTATTTTAATTCATCAGTGGATGTAATAATTAGGAAATGATGGAGGCTCTGTCAGGTCACCAGGTAGATTTGGGATCAAAGAAAGTCTTAGATGGAAAAGGAAAAAACAAAGAGATTCAAGAAAAGGTAAAAATAATCAAAACAGATCCAAGAATCAAAATGGTTTTCTTGAGACCAGAAATTTCAATTACAACAAACAAAAGATGTCAAAAAGGATTTACCTCTTCCCAGGTGTGACATGATTCTCTTGTGGAACAGATGAGGCAGTGAAGACCTTTGTTTCAGAAAGCTGTTTGAAAGGGATTAAGAAATCTCTTATTCTTGTTTTATCTATATATCTAGATATATAAAAACCCAAGTGACATGATGCACACTGACCACCATTACTTTATATCATCTTAGAAAATTTTCAGGTTTTTTTTTATAATTCCTGAGGGAAGAAGACAGCCAACTTCTCTATGCTAATTCTTTTCACTAATTATAAATTATACTGTGATATTATATAGTCCATACAGCAGAATATTAAGATCTCTGTATGTGTGAACATCTGAATTGTTTGTTACCTGACTTTCATTATAAAACATCATCTGACTCACAGAAAAACTGTAAGTTCGGCAGGAGAATTATTATTATACTCATTATAGTGATGAAAACTGGAGGCTTGAAAAAAAGAAAGAAAACAGGAGGTTCAGCAAGGAAAGATGCCTCAACAGGTCAACCCAACTAGGTGTGAATATACTCCTTTTGCCTTCTAACCCCCTGATAATTTTCAAACTTGCCTATAACCCAGACAAAGGCAAAGGGCTATAAAGCTTAAGGTCAAGGAACATGTGTGTGTTTTTTTTCTTTCTCCCAAAAAATACAAAACATTTAAAAGTAGGATACCTGCCGAAACCGGTTTGGCTCAATGGATAGAGGGTCGGCTTGGGAACTGAAGGGTTCCGGGTTCGATTCCGGTCAAGGGCATGTACCTTGGTTGTGGGCATATCCCCAGTAGGGGGGTAGGGGGTGTGCAAGAGGCAGCTGATCGATGACTCTCTCTCATCGATGTTTCTACCTCTCTATTTCTCTCCCTTCCTCTCTGTACAAAATCAATAAAATATATTAAATAAATAAATAAATAAATAAATAAATAAATAAAAGTAGGATACCTTTGTTTGAAATAAGCCCTCTGACTTTCTCTTATTCTCGTATCCTTTCCTCCACTGATTCAAATAACCACCCATTTAGTTCAAGGACTTATGGTTAACATGTAGCAGAAATGAAACTATTTCCTAGCCCAGCAGCAGGCTCAGTGGTTGAGCGTCAACCTATGAACCAGGTCACGATTTGATTCCTGATTCTCTCATCATTAATGTTTCTTTCTACCTCCCTCTCTGAAATCAATAAAAATGTATTTAAAAAAAAAAAAAAGATAATATATCCTAAATCTACTAAATTCCAATCAGATGAGCATATCTATTCTCCTCCTTCCTCATGCCTAACTACTAGCTCACTCCCTAACAAGCTAAAAATAATGTTTAAAAAATAAATGGCTTGATGTTAAATGAAAATGTCATTTACATACTTGTGAATACAAACTGGATCAGAGGGAAAAAATGTAATCGTAAAAAATAAACAAAAAACCCCCCTCAAAATCTGGATCCATTTATGTGATTTTAAAGGTCAATATTCTACAACCCCTTTATTCTCTCCCTACCAATGTGTGCTGTAACTATCATGTACATACATCTGTTCTGGACCTTGAGAGTTGAACAGAAAAATGGTATAAAATATGGTATAGAGCTAGTTCAGTTACTTATTCTTTTTCGAGTTAAACTTTTTTACCCAAGAATATCTTATGCTGAGTCTAGAAACTTAGAGATCAACACTACCCAGAAGCCAGTATAGTGTACTCAAAAATATCTGGAATAAATGAATACCCAAAACAGAGCCAGTCTAGTTGAAAGGGAAAGAAGTTGGGCCTGGGACCAGATGACTTATTCAGAGTAATTTCAACTATGACCCAAACATAGACTCTCTCCTTTTATTAAAAGCATTATAAAGAGTAATTAATAGTTCACAGGCCAGGGCAATAGCATCAATTTGTTATCAGGTCAGAAGAACAAAGATAAGCTAAAAAATGACTTCAGTCATATTTAACACATGGGAATTTTTAAGTGGACAATTTAAGCCAAGTTCCTTAAAAATCTCAAAACACCAAACTCCTTCCATCTGCTAAAAATACAACAATGACAACAAAAACATGGCAACCACAGAACAGCCAGCCATAAGATAGCGCAAGCTTTCCTCGAATACACATACTCTGCCAGAAACCAGAAGAAAGATGGGTCTGATCTGGTACTAAACACTTACATCTTCAGTCCAGTCTTCCGTTGTCCACTCTTCCACAGAATTCTTCCAGGCCCCTGCTGACAACAATCACAGCTTAAACCACCAAGTCAAACATTGTCTTATTCCAAATGATTATCTATTGTATACTACACAAGATACATTGTGTATCTCATTAGCAATTTATTTTTTTTATTATTTTTTTTTAAATATATTTTATTGATTTTGTACAGAGAGGAAGGGAGAGAGAGAAGAGAGTTAGAAACATCGATGAGAGTCATCGATCAGCTTCCTCTTGCACACCCCCTACACCCCCTACTGGGGATGATATGCCTGCAACCAAGGTACATGCCCTTGACCGGAATCGAACCTGGGACCTTTCAGTCCCCAAGCCGATGCTCTATCCATTGAGCCAAACTGGTCTCGGCTCATTAGCAATTTAGTCTACAATCCAATAACTATGAGGCTCTTAATCTACTCTTCATAAAATTTATCATGTTTTCCAATGCAATTTAGCTAGATATTATCCACATAAACTCAAAGCCATGTCTAAAATTGATTCTGCTTCAGTATAGATGATATCCAGGCAATTCTGCCATGAGTAAGAAAGTATGGGCACAACACAAATATACACATTAAACAATGACATCATCCCTTATAAATAAAATTAAACACAAAACAAAATTTAATAAAGGCAGGTCTGCCTTGGACCCTTCCAGGTGGACTACTAAATTATTATATTTACAGAAGCATCCTTTTCATAAGGTATTAGTTCCACTGTATGGTTTCCTAACTGGTCTTCAGCAAAGCTGAACATTAGTCCTGCTCATATAAAGTCTGATGCTATAACTCCTGAAGAGCAGATACAGAGGATATGCTCAAACAGTTCTTAAAGAATAAACATCTATATAACAATTAAGTGATTTAAAGAAAAGTATTATTATTCAAATATTCAAATATAGAGATCCTGTGTAAATAAGTATAGGCCCACTATTTTAAAGCACACACGCAAACACACCAGAGAAAATGGTTTCAAAAGAAAATATAGCAAAATATTAACTGTAACCACTCTCAAAACGTGCGTTTGTGAATGTTATCAGTCTCTTCAATGGGAATAAATGAGCATCCGACCTCCCATCAGGTTTGTTTGTGGAAAGAGAAAAAAAGTAGGAGCACATTCTTGAGAAAAAGGGCAGAGATATATATATATATATTTTATTGATTTTTTTTTTTTAACAGAGAGGAAGGGAGAGGGATAGTTAGAAACATCGATGGGAGAGAAACACCGATCAGCTGCCTCCTGCACACTCCCTACAGGTATGTCCCCACAAGCAAGGTACATGCCCTTGACCGGAATCAAACCTGGGATCCTTGAGTCTGCAGGCCGATGCTCTATCCACTGAGCCAAACCGGCCAGGGCCAAAATCTCCAGTCTTTTAATGTATTTCTTTCCAGACTTTTCACCAAGTATATATATAGTTTGTTTGTTTTTAATTTTATTCATTTTTTACAGAGAGGAAGGGAGAAGAGAATTAGAATCATTGATGAAAGAGAAACATCAATCAGCTGCCTCCTGCATACCTCCTACTGGGGATCAACCAAGGTACATGCCCTTGACCAGAATCGAACTTGGGATCCTTGAGTCCGAAGGCTGACGCTCTATCCACTGAGCCAAACCGGTTAGGGCTAGTATATGTATAGTTTTAAAAGCTCACAACTGGACTAATTTCAAAGATGGCCAGTACACAGTGTTCTTGGAGCCACCTCCATCCAACCAACCCTATGGTCATGTTGTCAAATTCATCACAGAAGATAGTACTTTAATTTAAAGACTGAGAAATTTCTACAAAAAGCTGAAGTTTAAGGAGTTTTAGAAACACTCTAAGCAAGAAATGGCAAACAATTTCAAAGCCTCAAAAATCATTCCTAAAACTTTCAGTTTTAAACAATCTAAAATTATAATAGGAAACCATTTATGGTGGAATTTTCCTTAGGACTCCTTCATCATCAATCACCAATGAAACAATACTGGGTTAAAAGATTACAGACTAAGTATTATTCTAGGTTGGCAGTTACCAACAGCTGGTCTGTGGATCAATAGTGGCCCATGAGGTCCGAAAGGTTGGCAACCATTGTTCTAGGTATCAAAATCATATCTCATAGGAAAGATAATTAAAAGTTTTATGAGTGAGAAATGTAGCCTATTACTGAATAATGATAAATCACATGAATTTGATTAATACACTGGAAATATGGAATACAAAGATGTTAATGAATGCTAGACTGGTAAGAGAAAGCTTATGGGGTTAGATGAAGCACAGCAAAAAACTTGAAAGCTAGAAAATATATGGCTGGTTTGGCTCAGTGGATACAGACTCAAAGGCCCCAGATTCAATCCCAATCCAGGGCATATGCCCGGGTTGTGTGCTCAGTACCTAGTGGGGACATGCAGAAGGCAGCTGATCAATGATTCCATCTCATCATTGATGTTTCTCTTTCTTTCTCTATCTCTCTGAAATCAATAAAAATGTTTTTTTTTAAAGAAAAAAATATATGAACAGACAGATATATAAAGAAGAGACAGTCCAGAGGAGAGAAATAATGAGGCATTACAAAAACTATACATAAAGTGTTAACAAACATCCTAAAGTTTAAAACATACTTGCTTTATTAAAAAAGTTCAGTTGTGGTAAAATATTTGTAACATAAGCCGAAACCGGGTTTTGCTCAATGGATAGAGCATCGGCTTGGGGATTGAAGGGTCCCGGGTTCGATTCCGGTCAAGGGCATGTACCTTGGTTGCGGGCATATCCCCAGTATGGGGTGTGCAAGAGGCAGCTGGTTGATGACTCTCTTATCGATGTTTCTAACTATCTCTCTCCCTTCCTCTCTGTACAAAATCAATAAAATAAAATAAAATATTTGTAACATAAAACTTACTTAGTAATTTTTTAAGTGTATGAAAACTAAAATACAAATTTAAACATGCAGAATAGGTTGATAACTGAGTACATTAAAAGGAAGCAGAAGACAACATAATGTACACATATGTTGCATTGTAAGAAGCAATGCAACATGGTAAAGTGATATGGCAGATAAGAGGAGAAAGCCACAAAAGAAGCCAGGCACAGCCGAAACCGGTTTGGCTATGGGAGAACGTCGGTCTGCGGACTGAAAGGTCCCAGGTTCGATTCCGGTCAGGGGCATGTACACTGGTTGCAGGCACATCCCCAGTAAGGGGTGTACAAGAGGCAGCTGGTCGATGTTTCTCTCTCATCGACGTTTCTATTATAGCTCTCTATCCCTCTCTTCTCCTCTCTGTAAAAAACCAATAAAATATATTAAAAAAAAAAACACACAAAAAAAAAAAAACAGCAAGAAACGGCTTTCGTTGTTCTACTGAGGCCAGATGTGTTCCTGGACACTTAGCATTGGAATATAACTGGGTGTAGATTGGTGAACATGCTCTTGCTTTAAAAAAAAAAAAAAAAGCCAGGCACAAGTTGTTGCAGTAACCCACCCCAAATACATAGACTATAAAAACTACCAGACCTCAGAAGAATACAGTCAGGTCCCAACCTTATTTTGGAATATTAAAATCTTACAGTAAGAGCTTGGTTCCCATTACAGGCTTATAGACCTATACGTCAAATATAACTGAAAATGTCAATGATGTTAATTTATTTTCAGTTTAAGACAATAAATCTGACATGTATGTTTTATGTTTGCTTTAACTTTGATGTTGGTCCTTTGTTAAAAGCACATATAAGCTAGCCATATAGGAGAAAGGAAAACGATGATGCAAAAAATCTGTGTTGCCTTGAAGGCCAATCTGAAAAACTTCCATAATCAAAAGCTGGTAATTATTTTATCAAGTAGTTGTAAAAATATAAATTATAAATACTTATCTGATATATTCTATTGGTTAATCTTGATTTTTTTAAAAAGATACTGTAAGCATTTTATAAAATTCTTAACTAAGAAAAATTTTTAAATAAAATATTCATACCTTTGTGTCCGTAAGAATTGTTTGGCAGATCCTGAGCTACCTTTTGAGCATTTGATGCCAGTTCTGTAGATCAATGTAAAATGGGAGGTTTTAACAGATCAAAACAATTAGGAGTCAGTAAATTAAACAGAGAAAAGAAAGCATCAGAGCTCACTATACTATATAACGTACTCCAAGGAGAGGAAAATTTACTGTAATCCGTCCTGTGACAGACAACTGTGATTCAAATAGGAGTCTTATTAGCCAGATGGCTCTTGAACATTCAACTTGCATCAGCTACCCCTTTTTTACTCCTAGGTTCACCAGGCTCCTTTCCCACTCGTCAAAGAAAGGATTCCACACTATGTAAAAGGTACACTGATTTTAGTAAATATTTTGACTATCCTTCAGTCTTTCTACTTTGGCTAAATGTAGAGACTCTAGGAATATATTTGATTTTAATACTGTAAGTATATACTGTCAAGAGTCATGTTTCATCCTAGCCCCAGTGGTCGGCAAACTCATTAGTCAACAGAGTCAAATATCAACACTACAACGATTGAAATTTCCTTAGAGAACCGAAAACTGACTTCTGCGCATGGGCCACGAAGTCTCAATCCTGCGCCCACACGTGGTGTTTTGTGGAAGAGCCAAACTCAAGGGGCCAAAGAGCCCACCCTGCACATACATCATCATATTTACACCTAAATATTTCATATTTCTGTACTACTATAAATGGTACTGTTTTTTTCTCTTTTATCCCAATTTGTAATTGTTCATTAATAGCACAGAACAACTGTCTTTATTTTACATAACTACATGTATTTGCTGGAATTCACTTATTCTTCTTAAAAGGGTAATATATACACTTCCATAAACCTCACTTTTTAAAATAGTGAGGTCAATTTTCTTTTTTAAAAAGTGAATTTAGAGAAAGGAAGAGAGAGAGAAAGGGAGAGGGTGGGAGAAAGAGAAACATCGATGTAAGAGAGAAACATTGATCAGTTACCTCTCATACATGCCCTGACCAGGTATAGAACTTGCAACCTTTTTATGTGCCCTGAACGAGAATCAAACCTATCACCTTTAGATGTATACAAGGATGTTCCAACCAAGTGAGCTATACCAGCCAGGGCCGCTGGTTTTGTTTTGTTTGTTTTTTAATCCTCACCAGAGACTATGTTTTTATTGATTTAAAGAGGGAGGGACTAAGAGATAGAGAAACATTGCTGTGAGAGAGAAACATCAATCAGTTGCCTCTCCTACCGGCCCTGACTGGGGTTGAAACCCACAACTAGGATATGTGCCTTAATCCGGACTCGAACCCAAAACTTTTTGGTGAATGAGAATGGGAGGATGCTCAACCAACTGAGCCACATAGACCATGCATGGGCATTGGGGACTATCATACATCAATTAAGTCCATACAGTGAGTCAATAAAAACTAAGCTTCATAGTATTAAGACTTGAAATATCTAAAAATGATAAATCCTTCTATTTTTCTTAAATCTCTCAATTTTATAGTTTAGTATGAGTTTATATATTTTATGTTTTCATAGATAGATTTACCATCCTGTGTATCATTAGACTGCTTCATAGTCATTTGTTGTTTTTTGAGACCATCAATTTGTTTCCATTTTCTCTTTGTTAATGGTTTAAAGAAATAGAAGGTACCATATGATTTCACTCATATATGGAATCCAATGACCAAAATGAACTACCAAGCAAAAGAGAGAGAGACCCACAGACAGAGCAGGCTAATAGGTGTGGGGGGAGGAGTAGTTAGGGGACTGGGGGTAGGTAGATGGAGGGATTGAGGAAAAAATGGATACAGACAACAGTGTGGGGATTACAGAGAGGAGGGAAGAGTTATAGAAAGGTATAAGGGGGATAAATGGTGATGGAAGGAGACCTGACTCAGGGCGATGTTGTATACAGATGATGTGTTGTGGAATTGTGCACCTGAAACCTGTATAATTTTAACTAATGTCATCCCAATAAGTTCAGTAAAAAAGAAAAATGTTTATTGAACATCTATGCAACACCTTTTAAAACTCCCTTACTGCCGAAACTGGTTTGGCATCAGCCTTCGGACTGAAGGGTTTGATTCCGGTCAAGGGCATGTACCTTGGTTGCGGGCACATATCCAGTAGGGGGTGTGCAAGAGGCAGCTGATTGATGATTCTCCCTCATCGATGTTTCTAACTCTCTATCCCTCTCTCTTCCTCTCTGTAAAAAAAATCAATAAAATATATTAAAACTCCCTTACTAATTTCAATCATTTCTCTGTAGATTCTTTTATAACATTTTTAGAAATGACACGTGTGTGTGTTTGTGTGTGTGTGTGTCTCCCCCCCCCCCCCTTCAACCCCTCTGACTTTTCTTCTTTATTCCTTAGTACAATGGTTAAAACCTCTGGTACACTAGTGAATAGAAAGTGAGATTTATATGCTTTATCTTTTTCCAGAGGAAATACATTCAACACATCACCATTAACTGCAATGTTTACAGTAAATGTTGTAGATGTCCTGTGTTTGATTAAGAAAATCTCCTTATATTTCAGACTTGCCTGGCTTTAAAGAAACAAAACAAAACAGGATGGATGGTAGATTTAGTCAAATGCTTTCCTTACTGAAATTATGTGAATTTTCTCCTTTATTCTGTAAAGAAATACACAGAACTCATTTTTGTTATTGAGATTTAACTTACACAGCATAAAATCCTTCCTTTTAAAGTACACAACTGAATAGTTTTTATTATATTCACAAGTTGTGCAACCACTCCAGAATATTTTCATCATTCCAAAAATTAATCTTTAATTCATTAGTAATTAGTACCTATTTCCCCCCAAGGCCTCCAATCTACTTTTGTTACTATGTATTTGTCCCATCTGGGGACTTCTCATAAATGAAATCATACAATCTATAATAATAAAAAGGTAATATGCTAATTAGATCGGATATCTTCCAGACATCCTTCCTGACGAACTGAGGCTGGCCCAGGTCCCAGGTGCCTGCGGGCAGCAGGAGGAGGGAAGCCTGGGTCCCGGGTGCCAGAGAAAAGCTGGTGCCAGCAGCTGGGGGGGACGGGGAGAAGGCCTGCTTTTGCATGAATTTTCGTGCATTGGGCCTCTAGTATAAAACATATGGTCCTTTATGACTGGCTTCTTTCTTTCAGCATAATGTTTCAAGGTTCATCCATTCTTTTTTTTTTTTTTTTTTAATGTATTTTTATTGATTTCAGAGAGTAAAGGAGAGATAGAAACATCAATGATGATAGGGAATCACTAATTGGCTGCCTCCTGCACACCACCTACTGGGGATTGAGCCTGCAACCCAAGCATGTGCCCTTGGCCAGAATTGAACCCGGGACCCTTCAGTCCCCAGGCTGGTGCTCTATCCACTGAAACAAACAGGCTAGGGCAATACTTCATTTTGTCTGTCTATATTTTTATTGATTTCAGAGAGAAAGGGAGAGGGAGAGAGACAAAAACATCAAAGGTGAGAGAAAATCAATTGGTTGCCTCTTACATACCCCACACTAAAAATGGAGCCTATAACCCAGGCATGTGTCCTACCAGGGAATTGAACCCTGATCTCCTGGTACATAGGTTGATGCTCAACCACTGAGCCACACTAGCCAGGCAGTTCTTCATTCTTTTTTTTTTTTTTTTAAAGGCAGAATGAATATTCCATTGTAGAGATGACAGACATTATACTTATCTATTCATCAACTGAAATACATTTGGTTTCCACTTTTTAGCTATAATGAGTTATGCTTCTAAGAATATTTGTATGAACCTGTCTCCTATTATCTTGAATATATATCTAAGAGTTTACTGATATTGAAATGTCAGTAAACTCTTAAGAGAACCCAGAAATTGACCTATACCATTACGCTCAATTAATATCTGACAAAGGAGGCAAGAGCATACAATGGAGTCAAGACACTCTCTTCAATAAATGGTGTTGGGAAAATTTGATACGTACCTGCAAAAAAATGAAACTAGATCACCAAATTACACCATACATAAGAATAAACTCAAAATGGATCCCATCAGGGTCGGGCCTAAACGGGCAGTTGTACATCCCTCTCACAATCCAGGACTGCTGGCTCCCAACCACTCACCTGCCTCTGTCTGATTGCTCCTAACCACTTCTGCCTACTAGCCTGATCACCCCCTACCCACTCCCCTGCCAGCCTGATCAACATCTAACTGCTCCCCAGCTGGCCTGATTGCCCCTAACTGCCCTCCCCTGCTGGCCTGGTCAACCCTAACTGCCCTCCCCTGCCAGTCTGGTCACCCCTAACTGTCCTTCCCTGCAGGCCTTGTCACCCACAAATGCACTCCCCTGCAGGCCTGGTCTCCCCAATTGCCCTACCTACTGACCTGGTCCCCCGCAACTGCCCTTCCCTGCAAGCCTGGGTCCCCCCTCCCCCCCATCCCAACTGCCTTCCCTTGCTGGCCTGGTCTCCCCCAACTGCCCTCTTCTACCAACCTGGTCACCCCAAACCGTCCTCCTCTGCTGGTCTGATCACCCCTAAATGCCCAAACTGCCCTTCACTGCAGGCCATCTTGTGGTGGCCATCTTGTGTCCACATGGGGACGGCCATCTGGTGTCTTGGAGTGACATCAATTTGCATATTACTTTTTTATTAGATAGGATATGCATAGCCTACGGACAGACAATAGTGTAGGGAACGCCTAGGGAGGGGATGAGAATGGGGTGGAGGGGGGTCAATAGGGGAAATAAATGAAGACATCTGTAATACTTTCAGTAATAAATTAAATTAAAAAGAAAAAGAGCCGCTCAAAAAAGACTTTATATCTGTGTTGAAGTGAAGTCATTGTGTAATTGCAAATGTTAGCACAAAATGTATAAACATAAAGAGTCTTCCTATGATCTTTTCACATCTTTAATTATAAAGAATATCAATATTCCTTTTCTCATTCCTAGAATCAATTATTTATGCTTCTCCTTTCCCTGAACAGTCTCAAATAAATTTATCAATTTTATTAGTTTTTTCAAATTACCATTTGTAACTTTTATTGATCTCTACATTATCTTTGATTTCTAGTTCATGATTGTGCAGTCTTATTTCCTGACCAGAGTTGATGCTATATAAAAGTGTCAAATTATGTCTTAATTTTTTTAAAAAATCCTCATCTAAGGATATAGAGGGAGGGAGAAAGGGAGAGAGAGAGAGAGATATCGATAGGTTGCCTTCTGTATGCTCCCCAACTGGAGATGAAACTGCAACCCAGCCCTGGCTGGTGTCACTCAGTAGATGTAGTGTGTCAGTCAGTCTGCTCACCGAAAGGTCTCAGGTTCAATTCCTGGTCAAAGACACATCTCCTGGGCGTGTGCAGGAGACACCAATCTATGTGTCTTTCTCATATCAATGTCTCTCTCTCCTCCCAACCCCTCTACTCTTTCTAAAAATCAATGGAAAAATATGCTTTGGTTAGAATTAATACAACAACAACAAAAAACACCTCACAACCCAGGCCTGTGCCCTGACCAGGACTCGAATTGACAACCTTTTGGTGCACTGGATGACACTCAACCAACTGAGCCACTCCAGCTGGACTCAAATTATACCTTGAGTAATAAATACAATCGCAGTAGTTCTGATCATGAACAAATCCTCCAAAAAGCTCTATTACATAAACATACCCTATGAACAAATATCTACCCATAAATTTTAGAAAAGAAATAAAAACGGAAGGATACAGAAAAAAACCTGCAAAAGCAATTATTGCTCCAAGCCCATCTATCATCTACCACTTTATCTGGCCAAATTTACTGTCCACCATTAGCAATGGTATTTCCAGTAATAAGTCTGCTAAGAAAGTCTATAAATCCCTGACACACTGGTGGGGGTATGGTGAGGGGTTGGAAGGGGGCTGGGGAAGAACTAGAGTTATCAGGGAAATCACTTCATTAGTTATACAAATGCCTAAACACTATGCGGTACACCTAAAACTAATATAATATTGAATGTTGACTAATTTTTAAAATTTTAATACAAAGAAATCCATGACATACTGAAATTTGAGTGTGGATCTGTGCTGACATAGCCTGATTATAACCTATTCCTCAGAGTGCAGAAAGGAAAATCAAATGTCTTATCATCAATGAGATTTATAAGTGAGAGACTTTGGAAGTATAAGGACAGGCTAATAGTAGTCTCAGGTTTAGGACAGCAGGCTTTTTCCTTATTCTTCATCAGCACACTTTGATGTCATCTTTATATGCATGCTATAGCAAACTTTAAAAATACATCTCTGATAAGAATAGACACTTACCACTTCCCTCATCTGCACCATTGTGAGCAGCTTCCCAAACTACTGGTTTTGTCCCACACCCATCTATAGATGGAGACTCTGAATAGTCTGCAGGATTAAATGTCCTGGGTTTGAAATAAAGAATAAAGGCAAATGAAGCAATCACCAAAGTCACAAAAGTAACTGTACATCATCTCTCACAAAAGAAGTCATTTCTTTTCTAAGAGATGCTATGAAACTTCACCCTCCTTCTCCTATTTAACTATAGCTCATTCCTCTTGCCATTAGGATGCACATTTTCTGAAAAGCAGAGTTGCCTAGGGATCTTCTATACACTCTTATAAGATACCCCTATTTCCCTAAGTTGCTGTCCTCTGCATTCTAAAGGTGTGGAGGCATAATCATTGTAGGCAGCATGAGGGCTCTATGGAAAGCCCCCCGAAAACTAACCCCAGACTTAAACAGGCAAGTCTTTTCTTCCCAAGTTAGAATCCAAGTTTAGCTTTGATCCTTTTATAACAGATGTATGTGATCCTTTTTGTATGGAAAAACTGATAAAAAAATGTTTTTTTAAAAAGAAACAAAAATGTTTTGTTCAGTACCTCTTCTTTGTTGTTGTTGTTGTTCATTAAAATCCTAAACACCCATGACTCAGAGGTCTAGTAACTAGATTCAAATTAAATAGTCTCTAAAATTTTCACAACAGATTTTTCCCCCCAGCTTAATTGTAATCATTAACTTTAAAAAAAAAAAAATTATGAAGGGATAAGTTTGAAAGTATACAGTAAAATCCACAAAAGAGTTTAAGGCTACTGTGCTGGACATAGGTGTTTAAGTGTTTTCATCCTTCCTTTGTCTCCAGGGAGCTCAAGAAGAAAAGGATGGCATGAGGTACCTAAAGGAAATGACCCCAAACAGTGCTGCCCTGAGCTATGGAGAGAAAAAGGCTTTTCCTGGAACCAATCCCTTCCTTTTTTTATTATAATCTACATGTGGTTTCTGTAAGATGCTTAACACTTTTTTTTTTAACTTTTTTTTTATTTTTCTAAAAATCCAGGGGGAGCTAAAATTTTAGAAGCAGGAAAAAGTTAAAGAACAATAAGAAAAAATGAAAAAACTATTGATTATACTATTTATTTAGTAACAGTATGGTCATCATTTCAATTCAGGAAAAAACTATTATATAAATAAACATCGCATTTACTTACTATTCAAAGACAATTCCTGAGTTTACCAACGCAACTCTTATGCAGTGGCTTACACCTGGGGGTGATTGTGCGCCTCCCTCCCAGGGAGCATGTGGCAATGTCTGGAGACATTTTTGAATGTTGTAACTTGAGAAAGGGTGCTACAGGCATTTAGTAGGGAAAGGCCAGGAATGTTGCTAAACATCCTACATTGTCAAGGATGCCCAATCATCTCAACAAAATATTATCCAATACATAATGTCAACAGGGTCAAGGCTAGAAACTCTGCTCTAAGGTCCAATGCAGTACAATTTTATTTGTACTATTTAACTTTTTTACTACTTCCTCTTAAGTATAGGAAACACCTTACTTACCAGAATAAACTGAGCATAAAATAGAGGAAGGAAACCCTTCGATAACAACTGGAGAACTACAAAAATAGGATGGCTACACTTACCCCATGCCTTGGTTTGAGGCTCTTCCTGCCCCTCTCCCTCTGCCACGTCCAAATCCTTAAAAAAAATTATAGTGTAAAATAATACTTATGTCCTACACAATTACAATTTGACCTACTTTATCCTATATGCACCTACTCAATATTGTCACTGTTCCTAACAGCACCATCATTTCCTCTGGTACACTCCATCTTCTAGTCTCTACTGACACACCTATGTACAAAGTTACTGATTTCAAAGGATAGAAAAAATTTTATCTGCTTGTATACTATTTGTGATATTTAGCATCTAAAAATGTAGAAAGCAATTCCCTCCATTCATACTCAGAAGACTGTAAAAGGGTTTGATAATAGCCAAATGTGCCAGAAAGTGCACACACTACACACTCTGGCCTATGACTAGTCCTAAAGTTCTTTGTATTGACAAAAGATCTCAAGCTCTGGCCAATTAACTCTGGCTAGAGTGTTGATCCAAAATGGCAAGGTTGCAGGTTCTATCCCTGGTCAGAGTACATATAAGAAGCAATCAATTAATGCACAAACAAATGAAACAATAAAATCGATGTTTCTCTCTCTCTCTTTCTTTCTCCCCTCCCATCCTTCCTCTCTGTCACTCAAATAAATTTTAAAAATTTCTTTAAGTTCCCCAATATTCAGGGTTGGTTCAATGATTAATATGGTTGCTTTGAGTTGTCCCCATGCCCAGAGAACTGTTCGTCCCAATAAAAAGCAGGGCATCCCTTGAGCTGTGTAGTTTAGAGACCAGGGAGTCAGGCAAACTGTGCCTAACTGCCCCTGAGTCAGGGTATTATATTCTCAGAGAAACAGGAATACACTTTCCCCAATCCTAAAGCAGCTTAAATTAGACAAATGACAGCAGCAAAAAAAAAAAAAAGAAGACTGGAATTCGTCGAGGAAGAAGCTTAAAATCCGCCCTTATATCCCATGTATTAGCTTTAACTTAGCAAAGAAGCCTGATTATAAATGTGTCAAAATAATTGTTTCAGGAAATTCACAAATTCTAATACTAGTGAATGAAATCTGATTAAAAAAGAAGAATATTTACAAAGTCTCTGAGTACTGCCCACCAAAAAATACTTAAGTGGGGGATATAGTAACTTTACATAGAAGAAACTTGGCCGAAAGCTCCTACCTAAATAAAAGTTAACATCACTAGTAATGGGATAAACCGATTATCATTATATCATATTATAGTTATCATCCCTTTGTGGTACCTGCCCAAAATAGATGAAACTTATCAAGAAGAAACATCTGATGGTATTGAAGAACAGTCTACAAGAGTCCATATGCTTCAAAAGCATCAAGGCCATGAAAGACAAAGACTTTTCCAGAATGATGAACTGTTCCAGACTAAAGGACACTAAAGAGACATGGGAACTAAATACCATGTGTGATCTGCCCTAGCTGGTTTGGCTCAGTGGATAGAATGTTGGTCTATGGACTGAAGGGTCAATTCTGGTTAAGGGCACATGCCCAGGTTGCAGGCTCGATCCCCAGGTAGGGAGGGGGGCATACAGGAGGCAGCTGATAAATGATTCTCCCTCATTATTGATGTTTCTATCTTGCTCTCCCTCTTCCTTCCTCTCTGAAATCAATAAATATATCTTTTATAAATAAATGAATGAATGAATGCAGTGTGTGATCCTGGATTAGATCCTGGACCAAAACATTTTCCTTTTTGCTATAAAAACATTAGCAAGATAACTGAAATTTTCTGAATAAGGCTTATAGATTGCATCAGTAAAAATTTTCTGACTTTTATCTTTTTAAGATAGCTCTGTAGGAGATTATCTTTTTTTCCTTAGGAGACACACACTAAAATATTAAGGGGTATATAAAATGGCATGAGGTCTGGAATTTATACTCAAAGGTTTCAGGGAGAAAAAATATGTACATATAGAGCTTATTCTATCTTACCTCTTCCACGGGTGCGCTTGCCACGGTCTGAAGGCTTGTCCCCTTGATTGCAATCAATTCCATTCTCTTCACCTCTAACTAAGAAATAAAAGAGGGTCTCATATATAATCATACCAGACAACTATTAAAACAAGAACAAAAAGACTTTTTAAAATAGCTAAAATATAACCAAAAGGTTTTTTAAAAAGAAGAAGAAAAACAAAAGTGAGTCGCCCTAGCTGGTTTGGCTCAGTGGATTAAGCATCGGCCTTCAGACTGAAGGGTCCTGGGTTCGATTCCAGTCAAGGGCACATGCCAAGGTTTCGGGCTTGATCCCCCATGTGGGGAGTGCAGGAAGCAGCCGAACGGTGATTCTCTCTCATCATTGATGTTTCCATCTCTCTCTCCCTCTCTGAGATCAATGAAAATATATATTTAAAAAGACACCAAGTGGTTCAAAAACTGAGTAATCTTCCTTAGTTATAGGTAAAAGTTCTAAAAAGAAATTAAAATGACATACCACATTTTATTTCTTCTATTTGGACTTGGCCTCCCCTAAAGTAAGTTTGTTTCAAAAAAACACATTTGTCATTCAACTATGTAATACACCACACATTTGCTGACTAGTTAGGTTTAAGGTCTGGAAAAACATAGAAGAGCAAAACAACGCCATCAAGGAAAAAGAAATTAATGTTAGCTGAAACTGGTTTGGCTCAATGGATAGAGCGTCGGCTTGGGAACTGAAAGGTCCCGGGTTCGATTCCAGTCAAGGGCATGTACCTTGGTTGCGGGCATATCCCCAGTGGGGGGTGTGCAGAAGGCAGCTGATCGGTGACTCTCTCTCATCGATGTTTCTTTCTTTCTTCTTAATATATTTTATTGATTTTTTACAGAGAGGAGGAGAGAGGGATAGAGAGCTAGAAATGTCGATGAGAGAGAAACATCAACCAGCTGCCTCTTGCACACCCCCTACTGGGGATGTGCCCGCAACCAACATACATGCCCTTGACTGGAATCGAACCTTGGACTTTTCAGTCCGCAGACCGACGCTCTACCACTGAGCCAAACCGGTTTCGGCTCTCATCGATGTTTCTAACTCTCTATCTCTCTCACTTCCTCTCAGTTAAAAATCAATAAAATATATTAATAAAAAAAAAATTAATGTTAGAGACAGGTTTTTATAGAATTCTGTCCAGAAGATGCCAATACAGTCTTTTCTTCTCCTCGTACCTATATTGGCATTAATGATTCTATATAATATAGGAATTTTATGAGTGATATTGGCACAGCTTGCTTCAGAGGTTAATACCTATGAATTTACATAAAGGTGCCACTCCATTTAAATTTACCTCTCTTTATAATCCCAATCTCTGTGTCCTTTGTTTTCATCCACAGCATAATTTCTATTAACACCATTAGAATATTATTAATATAAAACGTTACTTTTTATTGTTACATTTCATTCTACCTCTATTAAAGGTAAGTTTTAGCCGGGACGAGTTTGGCTCAATGGATAGAGCGTCAGCTTGGGGACTGAAGGGACCCGGGTTCGATTCCGGTCAAGGGCATGTATTGTACTTTTGTTGCAGGCATATCCCCAGTAGGGGGTGTGCAAGAGGCAGCTGATCGATGACTCTCTCTCATCGACGTTTCTAGCTCTCTATCTCTCCCCCTTCCTCTCTGTACAAAAATCAATAATATATATATTTTTTTAAAAAGGTAAGTTTTAGGAGAGCAAAAATGTCTGTACCATTTATTGCTGTATGCCTGTTAAGAGTACTTGCTATACAGCAGGTACTCAATAAATATCCATGGAATAAACTAACAAAAACCTCTAAGGTCAGTGCTGGCAGACTGCTCAGCTGGTTGGAGTGTTGGTTGGAGTGCTGTCCTATAAGCCAATAGGTTGCAGGGTCCAATTCCCACTCAGTGCACATACCTAGGTTTCAGGTTTGATCCCTGTTCAAGATGTGTACAGCAGGCAAAAGATCTGTTTCTCATATCAATGTTTTTCTTTCTTTCTATTTCTCCCCCGCCCTCCCCACCACCAACCTTTCCTCTCTATCTCAAATCAATCAACATATCCTCAAGTGAAGATTTTAAAAAAGTCTTTAAGGTGATATATTTAATATTTACATTTTATTCATTCATAACTTAGCTACTTTGGTATATCTGTACAGCAGGTTGTTGTTCTTGGGTCAAATGGAAAGTACTGAGAAAATCTTTCCTATTCAGCAACTTACCATTTATTTTAACCTTTGCCTATACCATGAGGAAGAATAAAGAGCTTCATCTATCAGTGAATAAAAATTCTCCTTTAAAATTAGAGGATGTATATGATTCACAATCTTTTATATATATATATAATGTTTTTATTGATTTTAGAGAGAGAAGAAGGAAGAGCGAGAGAGTAAAACATCAATGAGAGAGAGAAGCATTAATCGCCTGCTCCCCACTGGAGATTGTACCTACAACCCAGGAATGTTCCCTGATCAAGAATCAAACCAGGAACCTTTCAGTGCAGGGGATGATGCTCAACCAACTGAGCCATACTGGCCAGACAGAAGGCAGTGATAATACACACAACTTAATTAACTAACTACAGCCCTGGTCAATGCTGATATGAAATTGCATCAATTACTAAATTAACTAAGTAGTTCATTAGAACCCAAATGTAAATTGTAACAGCAAATGGTGCATTGAGGGAGTAGATTTATGGACATTCTTTGGACCACTCTTTCAGCGTGCATGAAAATTTCCATCATAAAAAGTTCAGGATAAAGATCTATACTTACACTCTCTCCCACGATTGCCACCTCTTCCTTTCCGGTTGTTGTTTCCACGTCCACGACTCACTTCTCTCTCACTTCTCTTCTCTCTATTCTCTTTGTTTTCTGAACTTTCTTTTCCAAAATTCTTCTTCTTCCCCCCTACAGTCTCCCATGAAGTCTACCGAAGATAAGAGTTGTCATTCAAAGAGTGTACAATTACTAAGAGTGTGTGCATATATCTTCCAAACCTAATTATCCATGCCTTGTAGCTTGCTTGTCTACCATTTTAATTCTTTTCCATATAGTTCTACTTTCCAATGCTAAAGACAGCAAATCTCTTGCTAAGCTCCTTTGCTATATAGAGCACAAAAGATTACAGCAACTAGCTGAATTGATAACATACTCTGTTGTTCTACCACAAAAAAGCCTTTTTCTATGCTAATTTGTGAGTAAGGTAAATGTTATTTCTCCCATTTCCCACCCGAAGCTACCCTCACCTACTTCAGTAGTAGGGCTTAAGTCTATTAAATATATAGATTAGCTCAAAGATTACAAAGGTTCATAAAATGATGCCCTAAAATTTCCCTATTCAGTTACCCAAACTATAAAAAAAATTTAATAGACAAAATTTTGGTTTAGTTTTTTTAAGTACCTGAAATTTAAACCTCAAAGACCTATTCCAATGAGAAGTCAATGATTTATTTATAAAACCTTCCTTCTCCATCTCTCCTCTAATGGTGATACCAAATCAAATCATACCATAAACAGGATGGGGCAAAAGTAGGTTTACAGTTCAGTATACAAAACAGAGTTTATTTTTATTGATTTCAGAGAGGACGGGAAAGGGAGAGAGACAGAAACCTCAATTATGAGAATCACTGATTAGCTGCCTCCTGCACACTCCACATTGGCGATCAAGCCCACAATATAGGCATATGCCCTGAATTGAACTGTGACCTCCTGGTTCCTAGGTCAATGCTCAACCATGGATCCATGCTGGCCAGGCTTTCATGGTTTACTTTAAATGTTCTAGCTTCTAGCTGAAATCACACTAATGTTAGATATTAATATTAAAGAAAACTGGCAGCCGAGACCGGTTTGGCTCAATGGATAGAGTGTCGGTTTGGGGACTGAAGGGTCCCGGGTTCGATTTCGGTCAAGGGCATGTACCTTGGTTGCGGGCACATCTCCAGTGGGGGGTATGCAAGAGGCAGCTGATGGATGACTCTCTCTGTTCGATGTTTCTAGCTCTCTATCTCTCTCCCTTCCTCTCTGTACAAAATCAATAAAATATATTTTTTTAAAATAAATAAATAAATAAATAAATGTTCTAGGTCCTAGCTAAAGTATTTACATAATATTCCTCCTCCTCACCTCCAATTAATTCTCTACCCCAGTCAGAAGGTATTCCTTATTGCTTCTGGTTAGCCATGCTGCACACGGCAACCAGGTCAGAGACAAGGCCAACAATATGAAAGTAAAGATGCACCACAAAATAATCCTAAACAACTTTCCCTCTGCTTCTGCATTTCCCCTACAGTCCTCTTATCTCCAATCAAGCATACACCTTTTGTGTCTGTATTCAAGCACTAATTTGTTTTCTGATCTTTGAAGAAAACAAGCCAAATCTGGCTACCACTGTGTGATTTCTAAGTTCAAGCAGAAGACAAAAAGACATTCTTTTTTTTCTTTTTTTTTTAGAGCAAATCTCACTGCTTCTAATTCTATTCTTTTTTTTTTAATATATATATTTTATTGATTTTGTACAGAGAGGAAGGGAGAGAGAGAGAGAGAGTTAGAAACATCGATGAGAGTCATCGATCAGCTGCCTCTTGCACACACCCCTACTGGGGATATGCGCGCAACCAAGGTACATGCCCTTGACCGGAATTGAACCCGGGACCTTTCAGTCCCCAAGCCGACGCTCTACCCATTGAGCCAAACCGGTTTCGGCCAAAAAGACATTCTTGATGTAACATTCAAACCAGAACACCTCCTTCGGATTCAGTCCCAGGGGAGAAATTAAAACTCAATAAACCACAAAGAGAGAACTAGACGTTTTAGACTTAAAAATTCAGCCGAGACCAGTTTGGCTCAATGGATAGAGCATGTACCTTGGTTGCGGGCATATCCCCAGGGGGCGTGTGCAGGAGGCAGCTGATCGATGACTCTCTCTCATCGATGTTTCTAGCTCTCTATCTCTCTCCCTTCCTCTCTGTACAAAATCAATAAAATATATTAAAAAAGAAGAAAAAAGAAAAATTCACCCGACTACCACAGAAAAGAATGAAATCTGCTGAATGTAAAGGAAAAGTAGCAGAAAGTAGTATCCTGCCCTATCTCTACGATAAAAAAGAAATAGGTGCTCTAATTAATAATTTAAATATATTTCATTTGTGCATATTATTTTTATAAAAAGGAAAGTCCATTAGTTCATTTGGAAAATAACAGCCATTCTACAGTGAATCCATTAGCAATGAGGCAAACACATTCCCCATATTTAAAAAACAAAACAGTAAATACATGCCTATTAGCAAACAAAAGCTATTCAAAGTTTTATTTCATCACTTAACATTATATATTTTCCCAACAAACTGACATATTTTGTGGTTTATCATGTGGACCAGTGTTATTTTGCATGGAATTTTACCCACAAATACTGCTTATGTTCAAATAGCGAAAGATTTTCCCAAGTACCTAATAACTACAAAATTCATTTTTCTTGTTTCAGATTAAAAAATATACTCATTTTACATTTCACCTTGTCATGGCAGTTCATTTTTATACAACCTGACTCTAATGCAGCCTATCCCTAAAACTGAGAGCATGATTAAACCTGAATACTGACAAGAAGCCACTTTTCCCCCCCTTTTAATCCTTAACCAAGACATGTTTTTGTTTTGAGAGAGAAAGAAAGAGATAGGTAGGTAGGTAGGTAGGTAGATAGAGAAAGAAAGAGAAAGAAAGAGAAAGAAAAAGAGAAAGAGAAAGAGAGAAAGAGAGAAAGAAAGAGAGAAAGAAAGAGAGAAAGAAAGAGAGAAAGAAAGAGAGAAGAGAGAAAGAAAAAAGAGAGAAAGAGAAAGAAAGAAAAGAAACGAGCGACTAAGAGCAGCGCGCGCAAGCGAGCTCCCGCGCCCAAAAGAAATCCCCGCAAACCCGCACAGACTCCCGCACCCGCCAGCCTCCCGCCCGTCACCCGCATCAACGACCGCCACCCATCAATTGGCTGCCTTCTGTACATGCCCAGTCCAGGGATCGGGGACTGAGCCCAAGTCTCAGTATACACCCTGACCAGGAATCAATCCAGTAACCCTTCAGTGCACAGGATGATGTTCAACCAACTGGGCAAGGAAAGCACTTTTTGATGGGTCATCTTTGTACCCCTTTTTCAATAAGTCATTATCTGTTTTAATCTACTCGGAAGAGATTTCCTCAACTTAAAAATACAAATGAAATATTGTGCAATCTCTCCACACAGGAATCAAAAGATTAGTGCTGGCAGCTGCCTGGTGTGGCTTTAGTTGAAGCCTTCCTAAAAGTGTGCCTGCACATTCCTAAAACTTTCTAAGCTAAAAAACACACAGAAGAAAAAAAAGAAAAAGAAAAACATTAAAAAACTTTTCTCCTTTTATATATCTGTTGAACTGTCATGAAAAATGTGTCTGTAGAATATTCACACAGAAATAGATATACCAGCAAATCCTGGTTTTCTGTTAGTCTAGAGATATAAGGAGTAGTAAGAGGTGACGACTGAGATGAAGAAACATGAGCAGTGGAGCCAAGAGAAGTTTTTTCAGGTGGTGAAAATATCCACAGGCCCAGAGAATTTTGGAAACTGTGTAAGGCTGGAGTAGATGACCAAGTTCTCATTCCAGTCTTCAGATTCTACGACTTCATGAAGAAACCATATATAACAAAAACAGTCATTTCAGGTTAGTATTCTTTCTGGAACTTAAAACTAATATGGAATGGCACCCACAATTCCCTCCATCCCCACCCCCATATAAGGTGAAGTTTAAAATGAAATATGGGGTTGGAAACAAATCGTAGCACTGCAAATCATTGAATAATACTTAATAATCTTACCGTGTCTGAATTCCCTTCCAGCAATATATTGATAGCTTTGTTCACATCTCCATTACAGTCATGTAGGGCAACTATGCATTCATCCTGATTTTTTCCTGTCACTTCCATAAGCTGTTGAAATTATAAAAACATGGTTAGGGAGACCCCAAAAATGGTGCTTGATATTTTAAGATTCTTCTCCATAAAGACAGAACTTACGCAGTACTTCTACACTCTGAGCTTTTACCTGTTTTGTTTGTGGCCACCAAACGTCTTTTCACTAATATTAGTCAAACTACAAATCAACCCTCCTTCAAGATGAGCAAAACAAATTATTAATCAGCAGCATACACATGTATATCAACATCCTTAGAATACTCTGGATCAGTTATTGTCTACTCAAACTTGGTCCATAGCCAGCATTCCTAAAATTCTAAACTACACAAATATTAAGATGGACTTTATGTTTCCCAAAGACCACGTATATGTTAACATTTGTTAACTGATCATTGAAACACCCTTATTTTGCCTAATCTGATTGCTCTTTGTGATGAAAATATTAAGCAGTTTAATTTCTCTTGTTATACAGAATGCACCAAAGGAATTTCTTCAATTATGTCAAACATAGCAATCTGTGGAATCTGCTTGACAATATAGTATGTGTAGGAGTGAGTTTTGTGATCACGGCAGAATTCCCTGTGAGAACTTAGATATTATAACTTATATATGTTATAATCCAAATGGTAATAGCTTATGTAGGGAAATTTGTCCATGTGCAAAACAGATGGACTGGATATTCTTTTCTTTTTTTTAATATATATATATATATATATATATATATATATATATATATATATATATTTAATATATTTTATTGATTTTTTTACAGAGAGAAAGGGAGAGAGCTAGAAACATTGATGAGAGAGAAACATCGACCAGCACCGGGGATGTGCCCGCAACCAAGGTACATGCCCTTGACCGGAATCGAACCTGAGACCCTTCAGTCAGCAGGCCGACATTCTATCCACTGAGTCAAACCAGTCAAGGCCACATCAATGTTTCTCTCTCTCTCTTTCCTTCTCCTCTCCTCCTCCCTTCTCTTTACTCTCTCTAAAACAATGGGAAAAGTATCCTTGGGTAATTATTTTTAAAAAAATACTTTTAAAAATACTTCAGTGATTGGATCAGTAAGAGACAGAACTAAAGAGCACTTAAAACTCTGAACTCCTGAACCAATGCTCTTGCTTGTGTATCTGCTATGCTATTCAGATAAAATATAATTTGTAGTATGTCTTAAATTGTATATAAATATCATTCCAGAGAATGAAGCCTATCATTTTTAATAATTCTTTTTGTGACTATCCAAAAATATCATTAGTCTGACAAAAGAAACTATAAGAAAGAACAAAGTTTACATAGTAAAGTGCTAAGGAGTTCACTGTGGGATGTTCACTCCAAGGAGCAATTCTGGTAGAGCACTGACATATGAACCAGGAGGTCATGGTTATATTCCCAGTCAGGGCATATGCCCAGGTTGAGGGCTCCATCCCTAGTAGGGGGCAACCAGGAGGCAGCTGATCAATGATTCTCTCTCATTATTGACGTTTCTATCTCTCTCCCCCTCCCTTCCTCTCTGAAATCAATAAAAATATATTTAAAAATAAAATTAAAATCTCTAGTAAAATTTTTTTTAAAACATTAACAAAAATAGGTAACATCCTTTGCCAGAAACATACCTGTTTAACTTTAGCTTCAAATTCCAAATCATTTTTATCAAAGATCACCTGAGCGAGACGCATCTGTTCAGCTGTTACCTGGAAAGTACAAAAAAAAAATGTTAAGATTTGAGTACAAAAATATGTTAAATGCCAAACTCTGCTGCAAAACGAATAAAAACTCTCTAGCACTCCAGCAACTACGGTAATAGAAAACATACACAACCCGTACCCATAAGGTAAATTAAATATCAAATTAAATAATGTAAAGGTCCTATTTACTTGGCCAAATGACCTAAAGTTCTTACTCATCTTCATTGGACTCATTTGAATTTTCTTCCCCCTGGAGAGATGGGAGTAGCCAGAATAAGAGAAAGTGGAAGAACAAGGAACAGTGAAAAACAACTGCCAGGACTATCAGAACAAAAAAGCTCCTCTGTCAACTCTAAAAAGGTATCATGGTCAGTTTTTAAAAGGCTAGATTTATCTAAGTAAAAGTTACTATTTTTAATTGCAATAAAAAATGATTAAGAAAAAAATTAAAGACACTTTCAAACATAAAATTAGTCACCTCTGCAGAAAACTCTTTTCCAGCTGATTTTTAAACTCAAAATCCTTTTTAAAAAATCCAAGTTACTTAATTACGTATTGTGGTTTCATTTTATGGTGTTTTTAACAAATAATAAATTAAAAGGTATGGAAAAAGTTATACTCTTGTGAGTGAGTTAATAATAATAATATACCAATTTGGTTTATTAGCTTTGACAAAAGTACTATGGTTATGATAACAGGGAAACTAGGTGAGGGCTATATAGGAACTCTCTCTTCTATTTCTGCAACTTTCTGATAAATCTAAAATGACTCCAAAACGGTTACCCTTGTTAGCTAAAATTTATACTAACTCCCAAAATACATGTTTAAAAAGTTAAACAGTTCAAATTACTGAATAATCCTCGCAAGAACTAATAATGGACAACTTTCTTTTCTCTACTTTAAGTACATATATATTTCAAATAACCCCTAGTCTTTATATAAGATCCAGCTAGCTTTGGCTTATTCCCTCCAATCTAATGGCCAATCCTTTCATTCCTATATATGCCTGCCTATTGTCACCTCAGTTGAACCACTACAGTGCTACACCATTCCAACCAGAAAAATGTTTGTATAGAAACTCTGTGTCTTCTCATGTAGCCAATTTAACCTCAGTACTACCCAGTGTATATTTATAGGGCCTTACATATACTTTCACTATACCTACCTGCATGTTAGACCAGTGGTCGCCAGCCTTTTGGACCTCATGGACCACCTGTTGGTGATCACTGCATTAGACAATCATTTCCCTGACCCATAACCAACTGAGAAGTCCCAGTGCTGCAGGCAAAAGGACCAATGACATGAAATAATTGAAAAAGGAAAAATCAAAGGAGATGAGCTCCGAAAACATGGCACTTTCTCATGATACATTTGGGTTATAGGTGATTGGAAACATTTTATGAATGAAAGTAAATCATTGGTGCCCCTAAAGTTGAAAGCCTACATGATTAATTTGTATCCATTGTCCCAATTAACAATATCTTGCACTCTGAGTGTCAAGACTAAATACTGTCTCTTACTCATATTCATTCAGCCCTACTCCATTCCAAGCACACTAATACTCACTGTTTCAAACAAATTTTCTTAAATTACAAAATTTTCATATACCCCACAAGAAAATTACTGTGACCAATGATATAATCATCTAGTATCAAAAATATTTATTTGGCATATACTTGTTTTTCTGATAAAAACAAAAACAGAATATAAACACATTACTTTGTAGAAAAACACACAATTTATTGTGAATATCTATTAGCATAATGTTTATTGGCTACCTGGATAGGTCTTGCATTTTACTAATTTTTTATTACTACCTAAAGAGTATAGAGATCAAATTTATACCTAATTTGTATATATAGCCACGATATATGAATGTATATGTTTCAAAGGGAGATATACTATATACTATAAACACAATAAAGATCCAATTTATACCTAATTTGTTTATACATTCATAATATATGGGTATATAGGGTGTCCCCCAAAAATGTATACACACACTTTGAATTATAATTAAAATATATTTCATTCCAAAGTTGACACTATTTCACCCACACAAGTCATTCACTATTCATTACCATATGTAAGGTAAATATTGTACCAATTACTTAATTTATTCAGACTTAGTTTTTTAAGCTTAAGTACTATGACTCAAATATGCTTTGTATTTTAATTCAATGATATCATCTGTTTTATTCTTGAAAGGGTTCAGACCATCTAGAAATAACTTCTGAAAGCACAGCTGATGCACTTAATAGCTGTTTAACAAGTACAGTTTTGCAATACTAGCATAGAATATTAATGAAATATAAAGTGTTTTCAATTAGGCCTTTAAATATTTTTACCTTTGCCAATTACCCTAGCCAAGAAGAAAATTAGCTCTTTCCTCCCGCCCAAGACACCAAAAGGAAAGACGACTAAGGAGAAGGTGTTTGCAGGTCTCTGCTGTTGTGGAGAAGCAGGCCAAGGAAGTGGTAAATCCCGTTTGAGGAAAGGCCCAAGAATTAACCCAAAAGACACCTCATCCATTTTGTCAAGTGCCCCCCTCACATTCAGTTGTAGCGGCAAACGGCCATTTTTTAAAAGCATCTAAAAGTACCTCCTGCCATTAACCAGTTCACCTGGGCCTTGGGAGGGCCAAACAGCAACTCTAGTGCTAAAGCTGACCCACAAGTACAGAATCAGAGACAAAGCAAGAAAAGAGATTGTTGGCCCAGGCTGAGAAAAAGCTGTCAGGGAAAGGAGATTTCCCCACCAAGGAGCCTCCTGCCCTTTGGGAGGAGTAACACTGTGACCACCCTGGTGAGAACAAGAAGGCACAGCAGATCAACAATTGCACATGATGTGCATCCTGCCTGCCCTGTGCTGTAAGATGTGGGTTCCCTACTGCATTATCAAGGGGAAGGCCAAGCTAGGATGTCTAGTCCACAGGAAGACCTGCACAACCGTCACCTTCACACAGAAGACACAGGTGCTCTGGCTAAGCTGGTGGAGGCTATCCAATTAGATATGATGAGATCCGCTCTCAATGTGGATGCAACATCCTGGGTCCCATTGCTAAGCTGGAAAAGGCCAAGGCTAAAAAGCTGACCACCAAGCTGGGCTAAGTGTACATTGTTGAGTTTTCTGAACATAAAAGTAATAGAAATTACCCTTTAGTCAGGAAAAAAAAGAAAATTAAGCATGAGATAAACAAACATAGAGTATGATAAAAAAATTTTTAAAAAATTGCCAGGCTGAGCCCAAACAACTGAGAAGAGGTCTGTATAGCTTGTGAAATCAAGAGGAATAAGCAGAATCAACTGGTAATTCGAAGTTAAACATTAGTGCACCTTCTCCTACAAGCATCAGTGACATTAACACAACTGTCAAGTTGAAAAATTCTTGCCAAGAAAAGCAGCATTACTAATATCTTCCTCTGGATCTCTCTTCCATTCATTTGGCTTATACTGAGCTAACCTACTTTTATAATAAAGTGTTGATAGCTTTTATAGTATGTTAGGTCTTATAAGGCAATATAATTCTTAACAGCCATTTTGTAGGCTTCCCCGCCAGAGGAGAACAAAGACCAGGAAGACTTGTTGGGCAATGAAATGCCGGACACTAGGAATCAACCACAGAAGGAACTAAAAATGCCAAGAAGCACCCAATTGCACATTCCCAGTCCTGTTGACCCAACCCCACCGCCTAAACCCATCAACCAAGACCCCACAACTCACCGACTACAAATCCTTCCCACCAGTGCTACATACAAAGAAGAGTCTCGGTCGCCGAGGGGCTGCTAATTGACCCAATACTCCTTAGCTCAGTGCTGTATAGCCCTTCCCTTTGGATATCCCTATCCCCTTTCCTTTAAATAAATAAATTAAATTTTTCTTTATTCACCACCTGAGATTCCTATTTAGGCTGCCCACACACCATCAACTTTAACCTTTCATAGTACACTCAAATGTTTGTTGTTGGACGTCACCCAGAAAATTTGGAAAATATAATAAAGCTGGATTAAGTCATCCTTTTGCACATCACCCAAAGATAAATATCATTAACACAGTCTACTAGTATTTACAGGTAAAGAAGCACCACATCTGCAACTTATTCTTAAGAGGTTTAGAGGAAAAGGAGCATGTAATTCGTCCTTTGTACCAGGGAGAAAAAGATAACTGTTAACATCTGGAGATCTAAAAAGATATTTAGGAATAATATGTACAACTCAAAGTTTTTTTCTAACTCTCAAAGCATGATTTTACTAGTAAAAATCTGAGGTTCATCTCTTACCCCTTGCAACAGCATGGATGGACCTGGAGATTATCATGCTAAGTGAAATAAGCCAGTCAGAGAAAGACAAATATTACATGATTTCATTATAGGTGAAATGTAATAAACAAAACAAACTAATGAAAAAAATGGGTCCAGAGGCATGATGCATGAAACAGACGGACAGATCTCAGAAGGAAGAGGTAGGTGGGAGGGTAGGGGAGGTAACAGGAAGAAATCAACCAAAGAACGTATACGAATATACGCACAGCCCATGGTCAGAGACAACAGTGTGGTGAAGGCTTGGGGTGGGTTGAGGCCTGGGTGGAGGGAGACAAAAGGAGGGAAATGAGGGACATCTGTAATACTGTCAACAATAAAAAATAAATTAAAAACAAAAACAAAAACTGAAGTTCAAAGATACTTCAGTATAAACTAACTAGTAAAGTGGCAGAACAAGGGCCCAAACTCAGGTTTATTCAGATTCAGGAGAGCTCATGGATTTCTCTCTTACAACCTGCTACCTAGATAGGTTCTCAGAATTCCTCTATGGACATTTAGAATTGGGCAATAAACATCTTACAAAAAAAAAGCCTCCCCAATAAGGTTTTTCCTTAGGATATATTTCCCAGCATGGGATTAATAAATAAATGAACACGCACAAATTTATTACTATATAATACTATTTTGAGAAATTCTCACAAATAGTTTTATAAAAAGAAAAATTAGTTATCTAAGGGCCTAGAAATCCTTCCCACAACTCAGCTGGCAGTTTTTCTTCTAATCAGAGAAAATGAGTCATCCCCAAAGGGCCCCCAGAAAAACTTTTAGTGACAATCATCGGGAAGAAGGGAGTCCTCCCTCCTCCAGTCTAGAGAATCTGATTCTCTGGAAATCAGCCCAAGGAATTTACTTGAGTGGGAAACAGACATTTTACATTTCCAACACATTTTATTTGACCCTCCTTGAAAAGACAAGCATTTAATCCTTACTGATTTGATAAACAAATAAAATTTGTCTTATTATTTCTTTCATTATTAGCAGGGTTGCACCTATAATTGTTCATAACTTGTATTTCATCTTTGATAAGAGGCTATTCATGCTCTGGCTGCTGTGTTTCAGCTGGCTGAGGTGTCATCCCCAGGGTCACAGGTTCGATTCCCAGTTAAGGGCACTACTCAAGTTGTGGGTTTGATCCTTGGTCATGATGCATATGAGACAACCAATCAATGTTTCTGTCTCTCTTATTTCTCCTCTCTCTTTCTCCCTCTCCCTCTCTCTAAAATCAACCGAGTCACCCAGCTAGGGCATACTATCTGCTTTTTAAAAATGAGATTTAAAATCCTGATGTTTCCTACAAAGAAGAACATTAAAGCACAGGTGCTCCCTTAATTTCCACAAGACTTCCACAAAAACTTACCTGTACTACTTGTTTCTGTAGTTGTGTTGCCTGTGTCGCTGAAATCTGTGTTTTTTCCCGAGCACCGCGGGAACGGTCACTGCTCACCGAAGTCATCATATACAGTATATACAAAATAACGTGTTTACAAAATAGAAAATCTGCAACAAAACAGGCATGGTGAGCAAAACTTGCAAATCATAGTAAACAGCAAGAATAAAACACAAGGCAAGGAGAAAGCATGAGATAGATCAAAGGTTCTCTAGAATACAAATTCTCAAGAAAACAACCAGTTAGGATTTTAGATTTTCCTGGCAGCACTTAAGCCAATTTACTAATGCAATTTAAAGTCTAAGGTTTACAAGTACAACAATTCTAAACAAAAATCTCAAATACCATGAATTTTATTCAGCAATTATTTTACCACTATACTGCATGTAGTTTCTACCACATGTAGTTTTATGTGCTCTTCCCATTTGCAGTTGGTATTTGAACACAAAAAACTGCATCCGGCCAAAATTTTACTTGGCAATAATCCAATTCAAAATGTGATATCCAGGAACAAGACATACCAAATGGCAAAAGCCTCTTATAAACAACAAATCTTGTATAAAACTAAGTGAAAAACTGCCATTCTCGGAAGCATTATCCCAGCTTCCCAGCTTCCCAGCTTCCCAGCAACGATCGACAGTTTGGCACAAATAAACTCACAAAAATTCTCAAAAATAACAAGTCTTCAAAGGAGATAAAACAATAGTGCATCTATTTTTACTTTATTCAACAAGTATTTACTAAATACCTACTTATCAAGCATGTAAAAAATATAATATGCCACCAAAACATGATTATAATAATGAAATGCCACTTCACTCCCATTAGGATGGCTAATAAAAAATCATTTTGGCAAGGATGCAAAGAAATTAAGAACTCTTAAATATGGCTGTTAAGAATGTACAACATTATAGTAACTACAGAAAACAACAAGGAAGTTACTCAAAAAATAGAATTACATACTAGATGGTCCAGTAATTCCACTTCCAGTAATACAAACGAGACAAATTGAAAGCAGAGTCCTTTATTATTATTGTTGTTGTTATTATTGACAGTACTATAGATATCCCACTTTTCCCCATCCTTTCCCCCCTCCAACCAACTGCTGCCCCACCCCAGGCCTTCTCCACACTATTGTCTGTGTCCATGGGCTATGCATATACAGACAGTCCTCAGGTTAGTATGTCGTTTTGTGGTTATGTCACCATCTTCCCTAGGGGGCCAGCAGTCGGATATTCCCTGAGGAGTCCCAGACTGGAGAGGGTGCAGGCCAGGCTGAGGGACACCCCTTCTCCCCTCCCCCTATGCACGAATTTTGTACACCGGGCCACTAGTTAAATAAAACAAAATGAGAATTTTTTTTTACAAGAGTGCCATCTGGTGATGAAAATCTGCATGTACAGAAATAAACTTAAGCTAAGTTGAATGGATGCCAAGATTTTGGGTTTTTTTTTAATTAATTTACTGGGGTGACATTGGTTAATAAAATTATATAGACTTCAAGTATACTTTTGAAACGAAAAAAAGTAAACCAAAAATCGGGGGCAAAAGACCAAAATTGCACAAAAATTACCTGTAGATCTTGCTGTAGATCTTGACAGCAAAGTAAGTCTTTTCTTTGAAGTGGGGGGGTAGTCTTATACAGCGAATATAGGCCTAAACCTATGATTTAACTGTAAAATTAGGGGTTGTCTTATATGCCGGAAAATACAGTATGTCATCTATATATTGCATTGTGTGCCCAACCCCAAAGTAAAATAAGAGTGAGCTGAAACCAGTTTGGCTCAATGGATAGAGCGTCAGCCTGCAAACTGAAAGGTCCCAGATTCAATTCCAGTCAAGGGCATGTACCTGGGTTGAGGGCACATCCCCAGTGGGTGGTGTGCAGGAGGCAGCTGATCGATGTTTCTCTCTCATCGATGTTTCTGACTCTCTATCTCTCTCCCTTCCTCTCTGTAAAAAATCAATAAAATATATATATTTAAAAATAAGTTTTCTGATTTACAAAAAAACTTTTAGTCTGAGTAGCCTTGCTACTCCAACTAAATATTTTAATGTAATGTGCCTGAATCCTCACTTGTCAATCAGAAGAACCATAAGCTCTTTTTTGTTTCAAACTACTAAAATTTTGCTAATTCGCTACCTTAATAAAAAGACTTTATATTTCCATTCTAATCATCAATCCACATTTGATAATGAATAATTCATAGTAATGGCCCCTGTTCCATGGCTGACCCAGGACAATTGCCTTGTGAAACATGAAAAGTACATTGCATACTTTAAATGTAATTATTATTTTGGGGGAATAATCATGTTTCTCTTTTAATTAAGGTTCATTCTGGGTTATATATTCATAAATTGTTATTACAAAAGGCCACTGACATAAATATTGAGAATGCAATCCTAAAGAAAAAAAACACCTTAAATAATGACGACCCCAGAATATGCTTCTAAAGGATGCTTGCTGAACAAATTCAGGCTACCTTATTTTCTGTCAACATGGTTATCCACACTAACACTGAAATGTCAGAATAGCTTAATTCCTATTCATAAAAAAGTTTTAATGCTTAAGACACATGTGTCAAACACAAGGCCCGCGGGCCAAATCCGTCCCGCCAGGCCTTGCAATGTGGCCCGCACCGCGCTGTCATCACTGCACTCCGCTGCGTTTCCATCACAATGACAGTTTATGACTGTTCAGTAAACCATTCGGCCCACGATTTAGGCTGGATTTTAGATTTTGGCCCCTTCTCTGATTGAGTTCGACACCCCTAGCTTAAGATATTTAGCAAAAAACTTCGAGTTTACAATGCAAGCATGTGGGGAAAGGCAGGGAGGTGCTTCAAATTTTCATATATTAATTCTATTTTATTTTTTCATTATAGTTTGATTTTTCAGGGAGGAAGGGAAGAGTAGGAGAAATACCAATGACAGAGAATCTGGACTGGCTGCCTCCTGCACACCCCACTACTGGGGATTGAGCCCACAGCCTGGATATGTGCCCCTGACCGGAATTAAACCTGGGACCCTTTAGTCCACAGGCTGACGCTCTATCCACTGAGCCAAACTGGCTAGGGCCATAAATTAATTTCACATAAAACTTCTAGAGACAATGAATTCATAAATCAAGGTAAGAGCATAAGTTACCAAAATTATCAACATCCTTAAAAACTGTTGCCACCAATGAACTAGACTAGGGGTGTCGAACTCAATCAGAGAAGGGGCCAAAATCTAAAATCCAGCCTAAATCACGGGCCGAATGGTTTACTGAACAGTCATAAACTGTCATTGTGATGGAAACGCAGCGGAGTGCAGTGATGACAGCGCGGTGCAGGCCACATTGCAAGGCCTGGCGGGACGGATTTGGCCCGCGGGCCTTGTGTTTGACACATGTGAACTAGACTATAAAATCAGTACCTTTAACTAACATACTGTCACATGGGAAAACTCTATGACTTCTTTTCTGGAAACAGAATTATATACAGTAAAAAGTAAGGCTTCTATAATAACCACCCAGTTGCCAAACCATAGGAATTCAGTTTCCACTTGTTTTCCATCAGTCTCCATTCCCAAGAGTTCTACTACCCTGGAACAGGTTCCAGCAGAATTCTTAGAATAGAAACAGATAAGAGCAAGAGATTCTAAAAATAATTCATTAGAATCTCAAACATACGTATCACAGGTTCTTGAGCTAAAGAAAGTACCAGGTTATTTCAACCTACCCAATCACATTTTAAAACCCATATTCATCTCACCTCATCAAACTAAATTAATAAGATGTGACAGTTTTTTTTTTTTATTATTTTATTGATTTTTTACAGAGAGGAAGAGAGAGGGATAGAGAGTTAGAAACATTGATCAGCTGCCTCTTGCACAAGGTACATGCCCTTTCTTGACCAGAATAGAACCTGGGACCCTTCAGTCCGCAGGCCGACGCTCTATCCACTGAGCCAAACTGGTTTTGGCCAGATTTTAACACAGGTAAGAACTGCTACTATATACATCTTTAGCCTCTTTTTTAATTTTTTTAAAGTTTATTTGAGCTAAATTGACAACATGCCAGGGGAGCAAGATTTTAAATGCTCTCACCTTTATCCTCTTTAAAAACAAAAATCAGCAAAAAAAATTATATAAAGCTTCCTAGATTACTTACAAATACAATAATGGCCTAAATTAGTTGTAATAAAACAGCTGAGTTTTCAAGTGATTCTCAGCCTTTTTCTGCAGAGAAAATTCACTTATTCATTCCTGCTGAGAACAGGATTTATTTAGATTAAGAATCTCAACTGATTCTGGGGGCCCAAAGCAGCCAGCAAGAGGACGTCTACCTCCCCAACCCGGAGAGTTAGGCAGCTAGAGCGTCAAGGAACTCTATCTAGTGTGAGATTCGATTCCATGCAGCTCAACTGCTTGTGCCTGCATGCCAGGAGCTGACCAAGCTGATACTTTTATTCTCCACAGCTGCTGAGAACAGGGTCAGGACTCAAGCAGCTGGTGGACAAGGTTGAATTCCCCTATGTCCAGGATTGGCTGCCAAGGAAACCACAATGTCATCTGCTATTCTGTGTATATAATCTGTCCATGAGAAAGATGAGTGCTCGTGAACTCCTAAACATTACAAACATCAAAAATTATTTGGTATATCCACATTTCTTTCAGGTTAACTCAAGTCAGGAAGGAAATTTAATTGCCTATGGTGGCTTCCAGACATCTGTCCACTCCAGCTCTGCTAATTTCTTGGCTCTAAACCCAGTCTTTATCCAAAAACCCTAGCTCAGCAGCTACCTTATGATTCTTTGACTTTTTATCCCTTGAAAAGTCTCCCATTATTCATAATCAGTCTTACCCCTTCTTCTAAAGTACTTTCTATCAAAAAAACAAAACAAAAAAACACTGCAGCAATGTGATCCACTGGAAATGGCTGTGCCATGCTTTATAATTGAACATTAAAATTTACAAATTCAGTGATAACCTTGCTTTTATGTAAAAGCAAGGTGGCATTATAGCACTTCAATTATCAAGTACAACTGAGGAATCAAACATTATCTATAATACTAAAAGCAAACTATGCTAATTAGACCAGAGAGCCAGATGAAGCCAGCTGCGAAGG